TTTATTAGCCTTCCTGGCAGGCGACTTAATAACTGCTTACGCCTCAAAAAGGGCCACGTTGAGGCCTCGATTTTAACTTAGAATTTTTAAGGGCACGATTTTAGAGAAACCGGCTGAGCCAAATAAAAAGTGCTAAAACAAAAAAATCTTGTATTTTGGTTTAGTTTCTGGTTTTGAGGGTCATTTCCTTTTTGTTTCACCAAAAGTTTGACGGAGATTTTATTTGATATATATTTATTTTATTTGACAAATTTCTCTAGTTGTGTTGTTGGGGTTTGAAAAGAGGGTGTTTTATTGTGTCCAATTGAGGAGCGTTGAGGAAGGAAAGAGTCCTTTTCTTGTGTTACCCTTTCTTCCATCCCAATTGTCCCCTCTCTGCCATCTTCACAATTATTTTCCTTGTTTCTAAAACACATGTTAACCTCGAAATTGCAGTGACAATCGATTGTAGCTCACTTCAAAAGACATTAGGGACATTATTTTTGAAATTTCAGCACATTTAGCTCAATTTGCCACTAAACCAGTTAAACGGCTGAATATCTTGAGAAGGAGTAAAGAGCGGCACGTGTATAAGACGACGTGTATATAAGGCGGCGTGTATATAAGACGACTCGCTAAGCAAGAGCAGGGCAGGTAAGCTAGGTTAGACGATGCAAGGCAAGGCAAGAGACTAGCTCCAGCTCAGCTTGGTCTGTTCCAAAGGTTCAAGGGACCAGGACCAAGCCCAAGCTTTGTAGACCAAGCCCAAGCTTTGTAGACCAAGCCCAAGCTTTGTAGACCAAGCCCAAGCTTTGTAGACCAAGCCCAAGCCTTGTAGACCAAGCCAAGTCCCGGCTCTTGTCTGTAACTAGTACTTTTAGGCCAAGCTTATCCCTGCCCATTACTCTGTACTCTCTCGTAAACACCCACTTTCTGACGCGCTCAATTCCTCAATTCCGATGGCTTTATGTTCAAAATATCTAAAATTAACCTATTTTCTTATAATCCTTGTTTTTTTGAATGCTTTTAGAACTGCTTTGACTTTATAATTGCAAAAAACTTTCTTTATTCAAAGTTAGTCATGTGGAAAATCAAATCTTTCTTTTAAATAACAGAATTTTCAGCCATCTTTGGCCTTTAGCCCTTTGGCCAAGTTGCCTTCTTAAAATCCTATGCAAATAATCTGTGAGCAATTATTTGAGCAACAAAAACTTAACTTTCGACGGAACTTTCGACTTTCTAAATCAATTTTGATTTCAAAATCATCAGATTTCAATCAAAAATCATCAGATTTCAATCAAAAATCATTTCCGTTGTTTTTTTTAAGATCATTTCCGATTGGTTAAGTTGAGAAGCAGAAATTTTCCGTTTATTTTGTCTTGTGATAAGTTTTTAGAGCTCATCAGAATCCTTTTTTGTGTGTGAAGAGAAAATTTCTCATTTTGAGCAAATGTTTGATAAGCGCCGATGAGCCAAAAGAAAGAAAGATTACTGAATGTTTTCCCCCCCGCCGATTGTTTACAGAATGAACTTGTTGCTTTGGGTTGTGCATTGGGTTGTGCATTGGGTTGTGCTTTGGGTTGTGCATTGGATTGTGCATTGGATTGTGCATTGGCTGGTGCATTGGCTGGTGCATTGGCTGGTGCATTGGCTGGTGCATTGGCTGGTGCATTGGATTGTGCATTGGCTGGTGCATTGGCTGGTGCATTGGCTGGTGCATTGGCTGGTGCATTGGATTGTGCATTGGCTGGTGCATTGGCTGGTGCATTGGCTGTTGCATTGGATTGACAATAAGCAATGACATTGACAATAAGCACAATCTATTTGCATAGCTTTTCATTAGGATTAGCGTTTCGATTATGGTTTTACAGCTTTTTACAGCTTTACATCCTTTTCTCTTCATCTCTTCGCTTAACTTTTCTTTCGTTCCGTACTTTGTGCTTAAATCTGTAAACAAACCCTTTCTGGTACAACCGTTTCTTCCTTTTTCGGCTTTCCTGCAAGAAAATGAAGAATTTAGTGTGCCAAAAAGGTGTGTTTACATAGCAAACACAAAGGATACTCAACGCCAATGCGAGAATGTTCAATGAGATTTTCCTCTAGCGTATTTTGCCAATGAACTTTATCAATTAGGTTTGTAAAGCTTAGTTACATTGGCTATTGTCAAGCCTCTTTAAATTGTCTATTGTCAAGCTTAGTTACAATCATAAGTCCAGTCCAGCTCGAGTACTCAGTGTACTTCCACAAGAACTACGTGCTAAAATCTGTTTTCTTTTGGCTAATCATCAGTCATCAATTATCCGATCACAAAGAACCGAAGTTGATCAAAGAAAGAAAGAAAAGTACAGTAATCTAACTCGAAATTTAAAGAATTCTGAATTCTGAAAGAGGAGAATTCTGAAAAGTCAAATGTTTTGTTATAATTTGTAAAACCTTATTTTTACCCATCTTCTTCTTCTCTTCTTCTTCTCCTCTTCTTCTCCTCTTCTTCTTCTCTTCTTCTTCTCCTCTTCTTCTTCTCTTCTTCTTCTCTTCTTCTTCTTCTCCTCTTCTTCTTCTTTTCTTCTTTCTCTTCTTCTTCTTCTTCTCTTCTTCTTCTTCTCCTCTTCTTCTGATTTCCCCAAAATTTTCCCCTCCCTCATAATCCTTTCAAAATCTTCTTATTTTAATGTCTTTTTCTCAAAATTTTCTTTCCCGGACAAAGAAAAAGCTTTTGTTTTTTCTTTTCTTTTCCTCTCCTTAAAAATGATCGGATCATCGGATTTTAGTGCTCATTATGACGCCTTTCCATCATCATTCCTTCAAAAAATCCTTTACTTATAACAAATCAAACTTTACAATGAACTTTACAATGAAATTTACATAAAAAGTTCATTTGAAAGTTTGGATTTACTTTTTCTTGCAATTGTCGTAATTATTGTAAGTTTAAGGTCAATTTTGAGAGGACAATCCTCAGCTAAATCTAAATCTAAATCTAAATCTAAATCTAAATCTAAAGTGATTGAACTCTTTCACTTTTTATTCACTGTTTCGTAAGATAGAAAGAGAAAGTGGACAGGGTTTAGAGCGCAAGAAGATTACGATTATGGTAGTTGGCAATGACTGTAGTTTACAATGACGGTAGTTTACAATGACGACAGTTTACGGCAGTTTTTAGAAACTCGATACGTTTTAGCCAGCTGAAAATTGTAAAAGCACTTTCTGATGTACTGAATTCTTCATTTTTCCCCATTCATCTCTGAATATCTATCTCAAAGAAAACCTATTCCCAAAGCATTTCTATTTCACAAAATTGATCCTCTCATTCGATTTTCAGTCATTCTGACACTTCATCTCTTCAAAAAGCTTTAGAAATCTTTAAAAATCTTTAGAAATCATAAATCCCAGGAAATTTCCACTTTTTCCCTTCTTTTTTTCTTCTTAGATGATCTAAACCGGAAATTTGAATTCGATTTGTGGAGATTCACTCCCGAGAAGATTTAATAGAAAAAAAAATGTGTATTTTCTAATGAAAATTCTCATTTCAAATGATTTTGAAATAGAAATATGCAGAAATTCCGTTCAAATCTTCTTTTGTTTCTTCTTGTTTTTGTTCTTCTTCTTCTTTTTCTTCTTCTTCTTTTGTTTTTCTTTTTGAATCTTTTCTAAATCTTCTTTTGTATTTCTTTATTGTACTTTTCTACTATCTTTCTCTACTAAAAGTGTGCTGAAAAAGCTTGTTTAACAAAAGCTTGTAAGGTTTGTTTAACAGTTAATAATTGTACCAAGCTTTTAAATAACTCATTGTTAGAATGTAGAAATGTAGAAATGTTATGATCGTTGTGTTCGTTGGAGTAAAACAACTAGACAAGTCTACTGTAGCTTTGGCCGGTGTAAGAAATATATGGTGATGCTTTGATCTATATAATTTCTTGTGAGACCGTGTCTCGTTGTGGTTCAATGGTGGTCTTCTTGAAAACGTAATAATTTATCCAACTTTCCCTTGTTAGGGCAACTTCGCTCAAACTAGAGCAACTTGGCACTATCACAATTAAATCAACACTTGAATGTGAAAAAAGAATGATAAAGCACAAAAAAGGAGAACAACAAACTCACTCAAAAGCAAAGCTTAAATAATGGGTTTTTTAAGCATACAAGCTACAACAACCGGACAGCTGAATATCATTTAGTGACTGATTACGGTAGTTTATCCACCAACTTTGAACTTTAACTTGTATTGAATTTTTGATTAACTGCAGAGCAGTGGCAATTCGCCACAGCCGGGGTACGGTAGCTGCTAGCAGACTTCTTAGAAATCACTTTACTCATGAGAAATGGGAACTTTTAGAAATCACTTTACTTTAATCGCTTTATTTAACAAATTTGAAACAAATCTGATTTCTGATAGCTATTTCTATTCAAAATCAATATTCAAAACCAATTATCAAAATGAGTCAGTTTTCTCATGATTGAAAAGATTTCATTACAGCTTACAGCTTTGAAGTCAAGCTCAGACTCTTGCTTTTCAAAAAATACCCATACTTTGCCGAGTTTTCTGGTAAAAAAATCTTCGAAATGCAATCGGAAACTCGTTTTTTAATGCTAGTATTTACATTTAAATACATCAATGCATCATTTTCATTTTGAATAAAGCTTTGGAATGTCATTCTTGGATCTTTTTTTCTTAAAAGTCTTGGATTTCTCTAGTACTTTGGCTTAAAAATTGTAAAAGCATTTTCTGATGTACTGAATTCTTCATTTTTCCCGTTACGGCAGAGAAAATTGAAGAAATATGTGCGCCAGAGGGATGCGTTTACAAGAGATTACAAAGTACACCTTATTGTAGTCTAAAAGTCTTACTGTAGCTTTTCTACCGTATTTCAATCCTGATTCTGACAATATTATTGATTCAATCCTGATTCTGACAATATTATTGACTCAATTCTGATTCTAAAGTTCAACTACTCTTCAGCTAACATTTCAATATCTGTACTGTACAAATTTGATTCTAGAATGCACCGGAAAGAGTCGACGATCCCGTTATGAGGCGGTGGATCGATGAGAAATCGATGGACATTCGCCCATCGACATCAAGTGAAAGAAATGATGTTGGGGAAAGTTTGGAGATCGATAATGTCACAATACGGACACTCAGGGTACGTTGCGATTTTTCTGGATACATTTTCCAACAACAATCGGATAAAATGATGATTTTGAACGTTTGATCTTTGACCTATGCATTACTGTTTAGAATAAACCTCGTTTTAAGTAAATCAGTCGATCAATTACTGTTAGCATTTAGTACTGTTAGCATTTAGTACTGTAAGGGAGCAAGTGGGTCTAAAAAAACTACAAACAAAGCTTCCGTCACAGAAAATGCTGTTAAAAACGTAACTTAGCTAGCTTAGCTTTATCCTCTTTGTTTCCTGCAAAAACAAACGCGACCATCATCAGAAAAACGCAAAAGAATGAAATGAAATAAACAAGAATGAAAAGAAATGAACAAGAATGAAAAAAAAATGAATAAGAATAAAATGAAATGAAAAAAAAGGAATTTCGCGCAAATTAGGAAGGGTACGGTAGTTTTACCACGCTTTAAAGCGCCAATCCAGGATTTTCTCGGAAAAAGGTCTCAAGTTCAAATTTAACCAACCAACTACAGTTTCAGCCCAACCATCCCTCACCGCTCTCTCCATCGGATCATTCTTCTCGAAGAAAACCCCGCGATTCTCTGTGGAGACTCAAAGGATTGTTCTACTTTTTCCAAGCCTCTCTCTTTCTATCTGTGATAGCTCTTTGTGCTGCGAGTAGTGATGAGGTGAGTGAACTGATTTCAGAGTCGCTAACTGTTGAAGTGTGTTCCTCGCGAGTAAGTAATTACTTGAATAAAGTTTGCAAGAGTAATTTTTACTCGATTAATTGACGTTTTTTTGGTCGACCAACTACGAGTAATCCTCTTTACACGTCGAGTAAATTGAATATCTTTAGATTGACAGGGGATTTCCCACCAAACCAGTTAAAAGGCTGAATATCTTTAAAAGAAGGCGGATATAAGTCGGCGTTCGTGCTCGCAATAATTTTACAATAATTTTGCAATAATGCAATAAAAATACAGTAAATTTTTCCCAATTGTGCGTTTTAAAAAACGCATTACTCGTGAGGAACATACATTGGAACCGTATTAGATCAAAATAGGAACCGTATTGGAACCTACCGTAAATACTGTAATAGTACCCCACCGTCCATAATGACGGTGCGGAGTGTTGCGTAGTCTAGCTTTGAACGAGTTTTTCTCGACACTGGTTTATGCTACAATGCGCGCTCAGGTATCAAAAAATAGCCCTGAATTTCAGCTATTTTTTGATACCAAAGACGCATTTTTTGAAAGCACGGGCGCTTTGAAAAAAGTACGCTTTGAAATACTAAAAACCTTTTGCGACTACGCGACTGTACGAGGGGGGTGGGGTACTATTACAGTATTTACGGTAACTATTATAATGCGTTTGCTAAAAAGTGCTAAAGTGCTAAAAAGCTTAAAAAAATGCAGAAACTGCCGTAATCTTTCCTTCAGATTTTTTCCGACTCACTTAATTATGATCTCAAAGCTTTTTATCATGGTTTTATTGTATTTTGTTGTCTACATCATGTCTACATTATTTCCTTTAGTATTCCCTTGTGAGCGATCGAGGCGGTCCCCGCAAAGTCTACACAAATGAGTGGGCGGTGAGGATAGCCGGTGGATCGACTGAAGAAGCCGATCGAATCGCGAGAAGATACGGATTTGAAAATAAAGGACGGGTGAGTTATCATTAAATTTTTCAATTTCTTTTCCTTTTGCAGGTAATCGAGGGTGGCGAGTATTTCATTTTCCTTCGGCCAAACGAGCGCCGAAAAGCGACCCGAAAGACGCGATCTCTCTACGTAAATGGACTCTCGCATGAGCCAGAGGTTTGTTTTGTTTTGTTTTGGATTCAAAAACAAACAGTTTATAAGATTATAAGATATAAGCTAAAGTTTATAAGATATCCAGACCCCTAAATATCAAAACTTCAATGCTGTCTTGGGTCTTTTGAACCTTGAAATCCTAAGCAATACTTTGCTTAGGATTTCTAGGATTTGCTTCTCTTTGCTTAGGATTTCTAGGATTTGCTTCTCTTTGTTTAGAATTTTCTGTTCTTCTAAGCTCATAGCTTACCCTAATGTCCAATCAATTTTGTCAATTATTAGCATTAGTGAGCATTAGTGACGACTGCTTGATGTTATTTTGAATGGACTTTAAATTCTCGCGCACTTGATCTTTGTTTTGGCTTCTTGCTTGACTAATGAGTTTCTAGAAAGCACGTTTACTTGAGCATAAAGTACGGATCAATATTTTGTTATGTTCAAGTGTAAATTCAAAACATCATGTTAAATAAATTAACCCAAAAGGAAAATCGGTTTTTGTAAAGTTTACGGGGTTTTTAAGGTATTTCTTGGTATTTCCTTCAGTTTTACTTTATTTTTTAGATACAAGTTGATATTTTTTTAAAAGAATAGTTATGATTGATAGAAAAAGGAACAGATCCTACGTACAAAAAAGATTATTATGTTTGACTTGGGGTATTTCTTGTTATTTCTTTTGACACGGATTGCCCTCAATCAGGAAATTTGAACAAACTTGTGGCTTTTGTTGCTTTTCGAGCAAACGAGCTGCTTTTTTTTGGCTTTTCTATCTATTCTATTGACCATAATTATTCTTTCAAACAAATATTAACTTGCAAATGTCGTAATTATTCCAATAAAAGAAGCACAAAAATGATAAAGCCTCGTTTATTCAGCTGAGAGGTAAAAAGTTGCACCAAATCGCGTGTTTTCAAGGAAAATCCCTGAAACTTTACCACAAAATGCACTTTTCATAGACACAGCTATAGAAATAAACCAAATTGAATTCCCTTCATTTATCGCTGAGAAAACCCAAAAACTTTGAAATAAAATGATGCGTAATTCAAAGATCTTTAATTTTTTCAGCGATAAGTTAATGGAATTCAATTTAGTTTAGTTATATAGCTGTGCCTATGAAATGTGCATTTTGTGATAAAGTTTCAGAGATTTTCTTTGAAAACTCGCGATTTGGTGCAACTTTTACCTCTCAGAGCGGAGCTTCATCATTTTTGTGCATCTTTTATTAGAATAATTATTAGACAGGGTTGGGTCTTATGCTTTATTTATAAAAATTATGCAAAACTGAAAGAAATAGCAAGAAATTTCTCAAAAACCTCGTAAACCTTACAAGAACCGAAAAATCTTTTTCTTTCAGGTATTATGGATGGAGCAACAAGTGGCGAAGAAACGGGTGAAACGGGATTTTCGACGAGTACGCCGAAATCTCGCCGACAACGAGGTTTTGGAGGTAAATATTTTTAAAAGAGTCAAAGTTTAAAGATTTGATAGATCACTTTTCAAACCATTCTATAATCTGCTTTTTTTAGGAGTCCCAGATCTCAAAGTCTCGTAATCGCAAGCCGAAATTCGATCCAAATGATCCATTGTGGACGGACATGTGGTACTTGGTGAGCTTTATCTTCAATGTTTTTGTACTTTATGCTTGTACTTTGTAAACGCGCCCTTTCTAGCGCACTGAAATCCTCATTTTTTTTTGCAACAGCGTTTGGTAACTCAAGAAAAGTGAAGAATTCAGTGCAGCTGAAGGGATGTATTAGAAATTTTGAGCACAAAGTACACTAGTAGGATTAGCTTATGACACAGTATTATTTATAGCTCTTTTTCGATTATTTATAAAGTTTTTTTCAGAATCGAGCCGACAAATCGGAAGAAGGCAAAATGGATCACAACGTGCAAGAAGCCTGGGATCTCGGCTACACGGGAAAAAGTAAGGGTTTTTGTGAAATGTTTTCAAATTCCTATATATTAGTGGATATACAGGGTGACCCATGACATGTTTTACGCCATATACAGTACAGTAGGATCAGTTGAGCCGGTTTCAAAGCCAATATCTAGCGCCACTAGTCATATCGATAAGGAATAGTACAGGGTGACCCATAACATGTTTTACGCGATATATGAAAGCAGATGAAGTCAAAAATATGTCAGATTGCTTAAAGGAGTTTATTATAATTTTATTTTTATAACATTTTTGCACCATTTTTACACTTCTATTTCAATTTTTAGCCCAATCAGTCGGCTAGAAGAAAAATTAAGGCCATTAGAAGCTCCGTAAATAAAAGCGTCCGGCACAATGTATATTGTCACATTGTAAGGCACATTGTCTTATGAAATCGTGCTTTAAATGCTTCAAATCTCAAAACTCTTCCTCAAATGATGTTTTTTTTTGCTTTTTCTATGTTAAGATTATAAACGAATTTTTGTCTGAACTATTATAGAATCAAATTTTAATTGCTTTAATTGTCGCTTTTGTCCATAAAATTGATTAAAATAAAGGCACTGAACTTTTCAGTGATTTTAATTAGTTATTGATGCTTTAAAAAGGTTAATAAAATTGAAATTATTACTTTCTGCTTAAACCTTTTGGCCTAATGTTAGTTTTGGAATCCTCTAAAACACCCAAAATAAGCTTATTTCATCTCGCTTTCAACATGGCGACAATTAAAGCGATTAAAGTTTGATTCTATAATAGTTCAAACAAAATTCGTTTATAGAAACATAAACAAAACATAGAAAAAGCAAAAAAACATTATTTGAGGAAGAGTTTTGAGATTTGAAGCATTTAAAGCATGATTTCATAAGACAATATACATTGTGCCAGACGCTTTTATTTACGGAGCTTCTAATGGCCTTAATTTTTCTTCTAGCCGACTGATTGGGCTAAAAATTGTAATATAAGTGTAAAAATGTTATAAAAATGAAATTATAATAGACTCCTTTAAGTAATCTGACATATTTTTGACTTAATCTTCTTAATTCATATAAGGCCACATATTATGGGTCACGCGGTAATACTCGTACTTAATTTAACGTTTAACAGTTTACAGTACTAATAAAGATCTAATCAAATTTCAGACGTTGTTGTAACAATCCTGGACGATGGCTTGGAGCACACACATCCCGATATATTGCCCAATTACGTGGGTAAAATAGTTCATTTGGTGCACTTTGAGATTAAAAGTGTAAATGCACTTCTGGTGCATGAAAGTCTACAGTTTTCCTCAATTCAACGATCCTATGTCACGGGAAAGAGGAAAGAACTTGTAATAGTGAGTGCACCAGAAGGGGTGCGTTTACACTTTAAGTGCAGCTCCCTAAAGGAGTTCAGATCATAAAAATGTCAAAATTTTATCTTTTTCTAGGATCCAAAAAGCCTCATACGATGTGAATGATCGTGATGACAATCCATTGCCAAGATATGAGTATTCAGATGAGAACCGACATGGGACAAGGCAAGAATTGACATTGCTTAACTTGTAAAATATTATAAAGACATAGTTTAAGTCCTAATATTAAATATCCAAGCTTATAGACAAATGTCTATAAGCTTGGATGTCTACGCATCAAAAAATATTCGACAGTCAGTGTAAACACTTGAGCTTTATTGGCATAAAAGTCAGCCTTCACTGCTGTTCCAAAATAGCAAAGGTTTTCCGAATACAGAAAATGGTACTTTATAATACTTTTGGCTCATAGCAAAATACCGTAATTTTGTCAAAAATTAAAAAATCTTCTTTCAGATGTGCCGGTGAGGTAGCGGCCGTGTTCAACAATACTCTCTGCATCGTTGGCATCGCGTACAATGCGAATATTGGAGGTACTATTCAAAGAGCCAATTGAACTTAGGTTTTAAATTATTTAGATCTAGTTTTAAGCATATTTCTGAGATAAAATATAAAGCATAGAATAAAATTTATAGATTTTCCTTCCAGGCATTCGCATGTTGGACGGAGATGTGACCGACGCGGTCGAGGCTGCCTCTCTCTCACATGGCACAAATCATATCGATGTTTATAGGTGAATAAAAAGTTTAATTTTTAAAGGTTTAGAACTGATAAAGAAATCCATATATTGTATTATTAGAAAATAATACTTTAGTGCTTCTTGGGGCCCTGATGATGACGGGAGAACGGTTGATGGACCGGCGAAGCTGACGAGAGCTGCTTTCGAGCGGGGAATTCGAGAGGTAGCTATTTTTTTACTCATTTAGATTACAATATTTGGTATTTTTGACAATTCTTGATCCATTTAGATTACGGTATTCGAGTTGTTATTGCAAAATTGTTTATAAGATTTTTGCAATTGCAGCTTATCTCAAAGTCAATCTAAATCTACTTGATGGGATTAGGAAAAAGCAAAAAATGCTGCAGATATTTAAAAAATAATAATCCATTTTGCAGAAAAATATAGGAAAGTCTTAAGATTTTAAAAACTATTCGAATCTTTTCAGGGTCGCGGCGGAAAAGGCTCAATTTTCGTGTGGGCATCGGGTAATGGAGGCAAAGATGGAGACTCGTGCAATTGTGACGGGTGAGTGAACGAGAGAATTCCCAGAAAATAGTATGACCATGCTAGGTTATTGTTAAGTCTATAACTTGGCTATTGTTAGATTTACGAATTTGGCTTAAGCGTTTGAGTCATTGACTCGTTCACCTCACTCGACTGATTATTAGGTTGAGTACAAAGTTTTTGCAAACCAAATTCATTTTCTAATTGAATTGAATTGAACGAATTGAATTCCAAAGTCTCAAGCTACCAAATACGGTTTGTTTCATTAGATAGCCCAATCATTTCTCTTGCAAATGACTTTTTAAAGTTTTTGAAAAGCTTTGTTTTGAAGGTTTTTCATTAGCAAGAAGCCGAGTGTTCAAGAAAGGTCAAATGATGTGATTTTGACTGTTTCTTCCAATGAAACCTGTTTTGATGACAAAATAAAAAAGATAACGCACAAAAAGTTGGTTCTAGAATCAAAATCTCAGAATAATTTGTATAATGGCTTTCTTTATGTGCTGAAATTTTCAATATTTTTGAAAATATCAATTTTCGTTCTCGGAGATTATTCTTTTGTTTAAAATTTTAAAATTGGGGGTAGGCTAATTGCCGCAACTTTTTTTTTGCGTAACTCACCATAACTTTCTTCTAAGTCGACCAATCTTTATGATTTTGGTTTTATTTTGTAGATCTCAATAAGTGCAACAAAATGAAACCAAAATCATAAAGATTGGCAGACTTAGAAGAAAGTTATGGCGAGTTGCGCAAACGACCCATTTGCGCAAATAACCCTGTTGCGCAAAAGAAATTGCGGAAACTAGCCTACCCCTAAAATTGTTTAAAAATGATAAAAAGTTAAAAGTTAAAATTTTAAACAAAAGAATAATCTGTGAGAACGAAAACTGATATTTTTGGCTACTTTGCGCAACTCACCATAACTTTCTTCTAAGTCGACCAATCTTTATGATTTTGGTGTCATTTTGTTAGAAGAAAGTTTGACAAGTTGCGCAAATGACATAGTTGCGCAAAAAAATTGGCCCAAAGTAGCCACCCTGAAAAAAAACGATAAACATTTATAATGAAAGAAATCGTTTGGTAGTTTGGTAGTTTGAGACTCGTTGAGTCAGATAATGAAATAAAGGGTGCAAAACTTATTAGGGAATGGCTAGAAGTGTTCTATAAGGTATGTAGACTTATTTTGAAAGTAATAATATCAGATTATAATATTCTTTAGGTACACAAATTCGATCTACACATTGTCGATCTCCTCAGCCACCGAGAATGGGAATATTCCATGGTATTCGGAGGCTTGCTCGTCCACTCTAGCCACCGCCTATTCAAGTGGCGCAGCCGGAGAGAAAATGATTGTGAGTTGGAGATTTTAATGTTAAAAGGGAAATCTTGGATGTGAATTGGAAGGCTCCATTTTATCTATTACATCAAAATTAGCATTTAAAGCGGCTGACATTGAATAGTAAAACGGGATGTATCATTTATATCATTTATATCATGTCTTATATCATTTCAAATTCTAAAACGAGGACACAAAATGCACAATGACCAAAATATTTCAGGTGACAACCGATTTGCATCATGGCTGCACCACACTACACACGGGTACCTCAGCTTCTGCTCCGTTAGCCGCGGGGATCGTCGCGTTGGCGCTAGAAGCTAATCCGAATTTGACGTGGAGGGATTTACAGGTAAATAAGGAGCATTTCTAATGTGAGTAGGCAAAAACTAAATATTCTGAATAATATAGATTGACTACTTTTAAACTAAACTAATTCAAGAGCTACTTTTTCTTGAAGAAGCATGGGTGAGCCATGCTTGGCCTGGTCTGATCCATGACTTGACTATGACTTTCTGGTCTGAGCTAGTGCACTAAACTTGTAACAAAAATATCTCTCGGTCCTTTTTTGCCGTTGGAAATTTAAGGTTTTTCTCAGCACCAACCATTCGATTTTGAGTCTTTTGACTATCATTCGATGCAGAATGAAATTGCGCGTCGAATGATATCAAAATTAACCAAAAATGTATTATCCATGCAAAGTTGTTGGCTAAAAACCTAAACCCCGCCCATTATGGGCGGAACTTAATCTTTTGCCTCATAACTTTGCATGGATAATACATTTTTGGTTAATTTTGATATCATTCGACGCGCAATTTCATTCTGCATCGAATGATAGTCAAAAGACTCAAAATCGAATGGTTGGTGCTGAGAAAAACCTTAAATTTCCAACGGCACGAAAGGACCAACAGATATTTTTGTTACAAGTTTAGTGCACAGTAAAAACTTTTCCATTTTCAATTATAAACTTTAGATATTGTTAACCATTTCAAAGGCTACTTGTAAGTAAAGTTTAGGATACAAAAAGTCCGAAAATCTTAAACATCCCATGTATCTTTTTTCTTGAATTTCCCCGAATTTTCCTTTGATGCTTTAGTGGGTGACTTTAGTACAAAAGTACTATAATTTTAAATTTTAAATATAATTTTAAAGTTTTCCCTAAGCTCCAGTTGAATATCTTTTAATTTTATGGAAAAATTCAAACAAATGCGTCAGCTATGAAAGCTATGAAGCACCACCCGCCCTTTTCTGCGTAGATTTTTCGTAGCTGTGCCTTTTGTTTGAAATACCCCATGAAACTAGAATTCAAGAATAGAAGATATTCAGCTGAGTGAGCAAGGAGGATACTTTGAAAGTCGAAAAAAGTACTCAAATTTTTACTCAAACTCAAAAATTTTAGCATCTCGTCGTGCGCACGGCTCGTCCGATTCATCTACGAGCGGGAGATTGGGTGACGAATGGAGTGGGCAGAAATGTATCGCATTCATTTGGATACGGACTCATGGATGCTGGTGAGTATTTGCATAAATTTGCATTTAATCTTTGATATTGGTGATTTTATTGAGAGATTTAGACATTAATTCTTTAATTCTTTCATTCTTTAATTCTTTAGTTCTTTAGTTCTTTAATTCTTTAATTCTTTAATCTTTTTAGGTGCCATGGTGAGATTGGCGAAAAATTGGACAACCGTCCCAGAGCAACATCGCTGCAAACAGTTTTACCCGTCACGTTTCAAGTGAGCTTGAGAAATTAGCATAAAAAGAAAAGTATCGAATTGAAAGCTTAAAGAATTTTAGCTATTATTTACATCGACTTTTCTCGTATCGGGAAAATCGACCGGCGAAAAGGTTTTAGCGTCGAAAGTCTTTGAGTTCACTGTTTTTCTTTGATATACACCCGAATAGGGGTTCGTTTTGTTCTTTGAGTGTATTTTGAGCTAACACCAACTTTCTGGCGCAATTCTTAAAGTTTTTTTTTATAATATCGATTGTTGTCACGGAAAATTGAGAATTCAGAGCACTAGAAAAGATTTTTCAGGCAGAGTTAAGTCAAGCGTACTTTGTGCTCTAGTAAACACATCTTTTGCTCATTTTGCTCTAGTTAAACACATCTTTTCTGGTATATTAGATTCCTTTTAAGCATGAGCGCTTGTAGAAAACAGTAAAGCAAAGCTGGAAAAGCTCAAAGTACACCCCCAAAGAACAAGTCGATTTCAATCCTGCAGTTTCATGCAAAACCTGGGTTTTCCGTTTGAGAAACCGATCGTTGAATCGTTTGATCGTTGAATTTCAGTTCTGAATTTGAGTAAATGAAAAAATAGTTGAGCTTTTTTGAAAAAGAACGATCTATTTAGAACGATTCCCCATGGTAATCGCTTGCAACTTCAACTTTACACGGACGGATGCGCCGGATCGGATGATCATGTGGCCTATGTGGAACACGTGCAAGCAATTGTCACTCTGAAAGCGCCAAAGCGAGGCGATATTCAGATTTACCTCACATCACCAAGCAGTGGGTTTTTTTTTTGAATAATATTTTCTTGCATTGTTGAAATGGTTTGTAAGTGATTATGTTTGTAACTTTACTTGACAAAAATCTAGATTCCATTCCTCTTTTAGATACGCGAAGTGTTCTGTTGACGAAACGTGCTCGCGACTCATCGAGAGCCGGCTTCACCGAGTGGGCTTTCATGACGACACACAATTGGGGCGAGTACGCGGCTGGACTCTGGACACTAGAAGTCGATAATGATGGATGGGATGGTGAGCAAGTTTATTAGAGTTATTAGCGTTTACTTAAAGTCAGACTTAACCCCAAACCAGCTGACAGGGGTAGCAAGAGAATTTGAGAGACTTATAAAAAGAGAAACAAAACCGCAATTTCCCTAATAGTGAGGGTTAGTGATCACTATTTAGAGAGAAATTAGGTGCAGTACGTTCTTAGCCAGCTAATAAGAAAAGACTTTCCAATAAACTTCAATAGTTGGTAGGCGTAGGCGGAGTAGGCGCAATCGAATTGGTTTTTGGAACCATATTGGAACCGTATCCGAACCATATTGGAACCATATTGAAATCAAATTGGAACCATATTGGAATCATATTGGAACCATATTGGAATCATATTGGAATCATATTGGAACCGTATTGGAATCATATTGGAACCATATTGGAACCATATTGGAACCATATTGGAACCATATTGGATGCATATTGGAATCAAATTGGAACCATATTGGAATCATATTGGAACCATATTGGAACCGTATCCGAACCATATTGGAACCATATTGGAACCATATTGGAATCATATTGGAACCGTATTGGAATCATATTGGAACCATATTGGAACCGTATTGGAACCGTATCCGAACCGTATTGGAATCATATTGGAACCATATTGGAACCATATTGGAACCATATTGGAACCATATTGGAACCGTATCCGAACCATATTGGATGCATATTGGAATCAAATTGGAACCATATTGGAATCAAATTGGAACCATATTGGAATCATATTGGAACCATATTGGAATCATATTGGAACCAGATTGGAACCGTATTGAAACCGTATTGGAACCGTATCGAAACCGTATTGGAACCGTATCCGAACCATATTGGAATCATATTGGAACCATATTGGAACCGTTCGACATTCGACTAGTCTTAATCATTTCCATTAGACTTAAGCCAATAGTACTATAGTCAAGAGTACTGTAGTCAGATACAGCTTTGTGAAACTCTTTATGAAATAAATCCATTTCAATCCCAGATGCCGAACTGGTGAAATGGGATCTCGTGCTGCACGGCACCGCGCAAGAAGTCGGTCCATCCGGCTCACAGCATCCGGGTCTCTCCACTCGTTCCGTGCTCACTCTTCCATCTCTTCAAGCTGGCCCATCTCAATCAGCATTTCTTTCATTCATTCCATCGATTATGATCATTCTTATCGTCAAGCTTTTCATTTAAAGTATCCAACTTTTACCCATTCACCTTCCCCTTTCCCCTAACGATTCCGGTGTTCCAGCCTTGTCACAGAATTTACTCTGATTTTTAAGGTACAAAATTTTTCCTACTTTTTACTTACTTGCTTACTTGCTTACTTACTTTCCTACCACTTTCCTACCACTTTCCTATTCTCTTCTAGCTTTATTACCCGATTGTTTGTTGGAGAACTTGAAGTTACCCGCGATTTTTGTAAGATCTCCTTTGTTTAAACGTAAATTTGAAGCTTCATTTGTAAGTTTAGACTCAAACCATGAGGTGTCAGAGATCAGCAAGCGAACAAAATGCTTTTTTTGTGCTTAAAACGAAGTGTAAACGAACGCCGTCTGGCGCGCAGAAATTCTTCATTGATTAGCCGAATGGTTAGCATCATTTTTCTATCACTCAACACAACCCTTGTCACAGAATTTACTCTGATTTTTAGTTTTCTGATTTGGTTCGAGTCTCAAAACCGATTTTCCTGAAATTTTTCACCATTTTCTATCTTTCGTGGCTTAAATGTGATATAATCGAATGCACAAGCGACTCTTGCTCGATCGTTTTCTTCTTTTTTTCTTCTTTTTTCTTCTTTTTTCTTCTTTTTTCTTCTTCTTCTTCTTCTTTTTCTTTTTCTTTGTTAAATTATTTCGTATCTCTTTGATTTTATTCACTTCGCCTATTCTTTCTTTTTGTAGTATATTTAGGGTCATTATTAGCTTGTGCTTTAGTTGAAATCGTTTTCTAAAAGATGAGGAAAAACTACCGTAATCCTGCCGTTATTTGTGTAATTACGGATTACTGTAACTCAATTATGTAATTCTGGACTAATCCTGGACTAATCCTGGCTTAATTCCGAACAAATTCTGACTTAAAAACGATTACGACTCGATTACGATAGCTGGGAAAGCGCTCGGATTACTGTAGCGAAAAGGGAGCCAGGATTACGATAGCGTCTGGATTTCTGTCTGGATTGCTGTCTGGATTGCTGTCTGGATTGCCGTCTGGATTACGGTAGCTAAAGACAAGGATTACGGTAGCTAAAGATCAGGATTACTGTAGCTAAAGACAAGGATTACTGTAGCTAAAAAACAGGATTACGGTAGCTAAAAAGTGTCGTAGCTTTTCCCAAAGACACCTTTTAGAAAACTCAATTAAACAAGCCAAATCTTGCTAGCAAAAACAAACAAATTTCCCCGGATCCCAGACTTTTCATTTCATTCACCTTTCCAATAGATTTCTTAGATTTCTATGAATTTCTCTAGTCTATCGACCCTTTTCAAATATTTGTACAAAAAGTCGTTCTACTTACGCACACACACACCTTTTTTCTTTTCTTTGATGACTTGTTGAATGATTTTTCCTTTTTTTGTTTTTTCTACTGTAGTTTTTTTATGTTCGAATAAACGAATTGACATAGTGAGGAAGCGGAGATAATATTGCAAAGATAACAAAATACTGCAAAGAAAATGTTGAATAAAGAGACTTTATCATAAGCTATCTTGGATGTAAACTAGAAGATTTGATTCATTTCATGACTGACAAGAGAATGACAACAATTGTTCTCTATGCGCGTGGTCAAATGAAATGAGCTATAGATCATTCGACGCAGAATTTCACGCTGATTCCGAATATGCTTTCCGTTTCTGATATGGAGCACTCTGTCAAAAGTTATAAGCGCTCGAAGTTTTGTTGGGAATCTTGAGTAAAAAGATCTTGAGCTGATAAATTAGGTGAGTCACCAGACACCTAATTTATCAGCTTGGTGACCGAGTGGCAGTGGGCTTAAATACGAGGCGAGGGCCCGAGGGTTCCACTTCGCCGTCTGGCTTTTGTTTTTTCTTCTTTTAACTTTGAATGGTTTAAATGTTTTGTTGAACGGTCGTCATTGGCTGTATATCCAGAGGTGTGCCAGATGCTGTACGATTGCGCATAGAGAACAATAAAACCATTGAAAGCTAGAAAAAACAAAACAAGAGTCAAATATCGGCCCCGAACTCAGGGGTCGTGCTTTGTATTCAAGCCCACTACCACTCGGCCACCACGACACGTTTCCCTCTTTGGTAATTCAACTTCTAAACTAACTCAAGTTAAATAAACCTGAGCCAAATAGCGAGCTGGCCTATTTAAGGTGGTTCCACGAGGGGCTCTGCGTGTCTCGGTAGCTCAGTGGATAATGGGTTAGCGTGTCGGGTCTCGGGTCTGATCCGGTTCCCTGGATCGGATCCGCTATCGACCGAATTTTCGTTTTTTTAGAAAAACACTTGAAAACTACTGTTCGGATGAGTAATTACAGGAATTACTTTACATTGCTGTGATCTACCGTACCCGAGCTAGTCCTAGATTCAGCAGAAAGTCTTTTCTAATCGAAAAATGCTGGCAAAACTCTTGACTAGCTTCCCCAAGCATACAGGCTGCGGCATAAGTAACTTGATTCGTTTCTTAATGATTTTCTTGAGTCTCGTGTGATCAATTTTTGGCGGACATCCACTTTTAGGAAGCTCTTCGACTCTATTTTGTTGCAAAATGCAGTATACCGTCATTCGATGCCTTTTCAGCAGTTTGGCAATATCCAAAGTTGATCAAAGGTAAAAGTTGATCATCCCTGTGCTCCAAGCTGAAGAATAGGGGCACGGTTGGGAGAAGCCTTCGCCATTATGTCCAAACTTCAAAAATTTGCTTAAAAACTGCTACATAATATAAAAAAGCATTCAAATTAAGAAAAAATAATCCTTTGGAAAGAAATAAAAATCAATCAGTTTCTTAAATCAATGTTACAACCTTGTAACCATACTTATGCCGCACCCTGTACATTGCTGTGAACTAGCGTACCCTAGATTCAGCAGAAAGTCTTTTCTAATCGAAAAATGCTGGCCAAACTCTTGACTAGCTTTCCCAAGCAGACAATGAAATTCCAGACAAACAATTTCAATTCATATTTGCATTTCAATTCATATTTGCAATTTCTAACAATTGCATAACAGTTAGCATTGAGCTAATCCCTTTCTCGTGTTTTGGGGGCTGTCTGTGTCGTCCCTTTTAAGGCTCTCCCTTCATTTTAAGGTCCCTAGGGGAACAGCCATGTCCCTTTCCCCAATTTTCCTCATTCTCATACGCTTTCTGATAAAATAAGTAATGAAAAGTAATAAGGAATAATAAGAATTCAATTGTAAAAAGAAATTTGACATAGAAAAGATTGAAATAGGAAAGATAGGAAAGATTTAGAGTAGCTCTGCTTCTTTAGGAAAGATTTAGAGTAGCTCTGCTTCTTTAGGAAAGATTTAGAGTATTTAGAGTTGCTCTGCTTCTGTTCTAAAAGATTTCGAGCATTTCGGTCCCCATTTCCAAGCAACAGATTCTCAAACTTTACAGTTTTCCATTAAGTTTCGAACTTTCGAGAGAAACCCGATCCAATCGGAGAAGGAGAAAAGGGATAGGTTGGGTGTGGCGATTAATTAATGCTAAGCGGGCCCCCTTCCCCTCGGGGAAATCCCTGGGGGATCGACGCCGCGTTCCCAATCAGCCGGCTCCCCTGGGAGCTTGTCCCCCCACCCCACTCTCCACCTCTTCACCCAGTCTCTCCCTCACCCAGACCCCCAAACACCCCACCCGGACCTCACTCATATACTGTCTCTATCGATTTTTCGTTTTCTTGTAGATTTTGTTTGCTTACTGTGCTTTTAGTCCTTTAATTAGCCTTGATTTCTCTCATTACTTGCTCCTCTTGGATCTTTTGAATCTTTGAGAGCTTCTAGATCCTCCAGATCTTCTAGATCTTCTAGATCTTCTAGATCTTCTAGATCTTCTAGATCTTCTCATTTTGATTTTATTATGCGATTTCTCTGAATTCAGCGCTTAGAATAGATTGTGGGACATTTGGTATGCGCCCCACCCCTTTTGCCATTGGCAATCGAGCTTTCAGCTCAAATTTCTTGGCTTTGAGCGGTTCGATTGAAATAGTTTTTATACCAATCGATAGAGAAAGACTTGGTGTATCTAATGATATCAAAAATGTTTAAATTGAACAATCCAAAGCCAAGATATTTGAGCTCAAAGTTAGATTGCCAATGGCAATCTGACGCCAGCTTCCTTTGCCTTATATACGCGCTGTCTTATATATTAGGTAATTGCGAAAGAAACTGTGGATTATAACCAACATTCGAAGAATCCAAAAATCAATAAGAAAACAACTTTATCCCAAAAGATATTCGCCATTATTATCAACTATTTTCTTCCATTTTGGGACATTTGGTACGCGCTCCACCCCTTTTGCCATTGGCAATCTAACTTTCAGCTCAAATTTCTTCGGACTTCGGACTAGACTTCGGACTTTCTTCGGACTAGACTTCGGATGCCTGATTCGAAGAATTCGGGGTCCCGCGACGCAAAGTAGTCTTGCACCCAAATTTCGACTTCTTCAGGATTGTTAAACTTTTGATTTGCATTGATTTGATTTGCAAGAGAGTGTTGCATAGACCGGAACAAGTGATAATCCGAGGGAGCAATATCAGGCGAATATGGCGGATGAGGCACAAGTTTCCAGCCGAATTCTTCTATGGTGTTTTGAGCCAAGTTTGATGTGTGTACTCGGGCGTTGTCAGCAAGCAAATTGATTGTCCTTGGATTAACACCACTTTCTCGTAGAATTTCATCAACTTTCTTGGTTCCTTATCTCTCTAAATCTGGTTCCTTATCTCTCTAAATTTGGTTCCTTATCTCTTTACGTTTGGTTCCTTATCTCTCTGAATTTGGTTCCTTATCTCTCTAAATTTGGTTCTTCAGCTGTTCGGCGTAGATTTGAGAAGTTATAGTTTTTGAAGACTTTTGTAGTTCAAAATAAACGATTCCTTTGATATTCCAAAAGACCGACAACATAACTTTCTTTCCGTGAAGTTCTGGATGTGATGTCGGAATCGGCCTTTCTCCTTTGCTCAACCATTGTCTTTTGCGTGTTGAATTATTGAAATATATCCACTTTTCGTCCATCGTCAACATGCTTTCAAAAAAGCACTGCCCGTAGCACTTTTTCAGCGGTTTTTGGAAGCTTTCGGCAGTTTCTTGGCAATTTTCGGCACTTCTTGGCGGCTTTCGGCAGCTTTCGGTCGTTTTTCGATGTCCAAAAGTCAACGTCTATCCATCAGCGGCCTGTGCCAGATGGATAGCGATTACGTGCGCGCCCAGAGCATAAAAAACACTTTTTCAATAAAATCCGAGACAATAAAACTCGATTGGCTTTGTTTTCAGGGGACAATTCATGTGGAACCCATTGGCCACAACGATTCCTTTTTCCAAAGCTCCAATAAGCGCAAGGTGTCGAGAAATCGTGCTCGAATCACATTTAAAGTATTCGGCTAATTCGGGCAAAGTTTGAGTTGGATCCAACTCGACAATCTCCAGCAACTCCACATTATCGAGGACAACTGGACGATATCCATGCGGCTCATCTTCCAAGCTCTCATCTCCTTCACGAAAACGTCGAAACCATTCCTGACAAGTCCTTTCACTCAAAATGTTTTCTCCGAATGCTTGAGAAAGATTCGACTCCGATGCTGATTTCTTCATTTTGAAGTCATAGAGAAGACAAGGCAACAGTAGTTTTTGATCGGTCATCTTGTACCTAAAAATTATGTGATATTCAATGATAGCAATAGCTGTGAAAATAATTAAAATGAATAAGCAATAGTAATGCAATATAATACAATTTAAACCGGACCATCACACTTTAAAATAAAAAAAAAACTTTGGTTCTCGGAAGTAATCCGTTTCTTTTGCAGTTTCTTTTGCAAGTCCCTAATAGATCGCTGTCTTATGATATTAAGAATATGTAAATTAGAAAGCCCAAGATATTTGAGCTTAAAGTTGAGCCAATGGCAAGCCAAGGCAAAAGGCAAGGGGCGAGTCTCGCCGATAACCCTTAGAATAGGCTTGGCTTTTGTAAACTTCTTTACAGCAAGTCCAGTAATCGGAAGATTACTTCAAGAAACTTGACAAATGCCTTTTTGAATGGACAAATGCTTTTTTGAATAGACAAACGCCTTTTTGAATGGTCCTAGTGTCTCCCTAATCAAAAAGTATCGTTTGATGTGAGATTGATTATCGAAAACTAGACATTTGCCTTGCGCCAAAACAAATTCGCTTCAATCCGGCAGTTCTCTGCTTTCTCTTTTTCCTTTTTCATTTTCGAATACTTATTTTGCATCCGTCCTTTCTCTTCAATTACAGTAACAATTACAGTAACAGTAGCTCAACTACAGCTACAGTAACTCACTACAGTAACACTAGCTCAACTACAGTTACATTAGCTCAACTACAGCTACAGTAATCTTTGATGTCTCGACGAAAACAATTGAAACCGAAAGCTCTAAAGGGTGAGTTGATTTTATGAAGCCTTCAAGAGATGCAAAGCTTTCAAAAGCTTTCAAAAGCTTTCAAAATCTTTCAAAATCTTTCAAAATCTTTCAAAAGCCTTCAAAAGCCTTCAAAAGCTTTCCAAAGCCTTCAAAAGCCTTCAAAAGCCTTCAAAAGCTTTCCAAAGCCTTCAGAAGCTTTCAAAATCTTTCAAAATCTTTCAAAAGCCTTCAAAAGCCTTCAAAAGCCTTCAAAAGCCTTCAAAAGCTTTCAAAATCTTGCAAAATCTTTCAAAAGCCTTCAAAAGCCTTCAAAAGCCTTCAAAAGCCTTCAAAAGCTTTCCAAAGCCTTCAAAAGCCTTCAAAAGCCTTCAAAAGCTTTCCAAAGCCTTCAGAAGCTTTCAAAATCTTTCAAAATCTTTCAAAAGCCTTCAAAAGCCTTCAAAATCTTTCAAAAGCCTTCAAAAGCTTTCAAAAGCCTTCAAAATCTTTCAAAATCTCTCAAAATCTCTCAAATTTCGTTTTTAGAAGGTGAATTGAAAGAAGAAGAGGAAGAAAGCGATGAGGAATGCCCAATAAAAATCAGGTTTAAACGATTAAACTTTCCAAAAAAGGTTTAAAGACAAAATTTGCAGAAAGCTTCTGGAAAACGATGACAAAGCTGATTCGGTGAATGAAGAAGAAAACGGGGGAAATGAAAATGAAAACGAAAACGAGACGAAAATCGAGTCGGATCCGTCGATCACAATCGATTGTCAACTGTGCGAGCTGCGTTTCGACTCGATTGCTTCTTTGCAGAAGCATACTCTCAAATCACATGTGGAAACGGTAACTTGAACTTGTGCAAATGCTTTGGCACACTCTAGTGACTCGGCTACTGTCTCCGTGTTTGTACTTGGGTTTTCAAAGTTGTTTTCAAAGTTTCCAAATTTACCTAGAACTTTACAAGCTAGAAGCTAGAAGCTTTAGAAGAAGAAGCTTTAGAAGAAGAAGCTTTAGAAGAAGAAGCTTTAGAAGAAGAAGCTTTAGAAGAAGAAGCTTTAGAAGAAGAAGCTTTAGAAGAAGAAGCTTTAGAAGAAGAAGCTTTAGAAGAAGAAGCTTTAGAAGAAGCTTTAAAAGAAGAAGCTTTAAAAGAAGAAGCTTTAGAAGAAGAAGCTTTAGAAGAAGCTAGAAGCTTCTGAATTTATCTATTAGGTTGGCAAGTTATAAACGAAAATCAAAAAACGGTTTGTAGTTTTGTAGATTAAGTTGGTTTTGTAAATTAAACTAGCCGGAAAAGGTCAAATGTTGTTTCAAAGATAGAAGCGTTATAGAAACGTACGAAAAGGAAAAACAGATTCAAATCCCTGATGAAAACTAGCAGATATTTATCAGAGATCTATCAGAGATCTATCAGAAAACTCTAACAGATAAAAACTCGATCTTGACTTGACAAGGTTCCCTAGTGAACCGGTTTCTTTCTGGGAGTCACTAAGTCTCTTTTTGAGATTAATCCCTTCGAAGGACGGCCTTCCCCAATTTGTTGACCTTTTTGTGAATGAGAACAGTGGAAGAGACTTGACTTGAGTGACTTGAACATTTTGTCTTTTGATCGTCTTTTTGCTTTTCCTAAGATTTTGCTTCAATTCCAATTCTCCTTATAACTCTGGAAATGAGAGAAAAAACCGTACAGTTACAGTAATTGTACAGTAATTGGGACATACTTAAAGTATGTCCCAATGATGACAGATGACACTTCACACTTCACAAGTTAAAGTCCTTTTAAAGCAAGTAAAAAGTAAAAAGCAAGTAAGAGCAAGTAAAATTCAGGGAAATCGAGTGCTTCCTTCGACAAGCGATGACATTTCTCTTGAGTGTCAAGTGAGTTATAAAAACAAAGCAACTAAAGTTCAGAAAAGCTGTTTGAGCACGAAATTTGCGAAATTGGCTTTGCCCAAATAAATCTTCTAAATAATTCAAATAATAATTCAAATAATTCAAATCCAATAATAAAACGATACAACGAAAACTGTTCAAATGAAACTCCAGGTTTGCTCAGCCAGGATGCCGACATTCGAAGCTTTCGCCGCCCATATGCGCTCTCATCTCAGCGTTCCGAATGGAGCGAATGTCTCAAATGAAATCCCGAAAAAGTGCCACTTGTGCAAGACAAGGTTCACAACGGAAGAGGTACAAGTTTTCCCTGCTTACTATACCTAAAACCTTTGCTATTTCAAATATTTGAGCAATTCTAAGCAAGCAAACAGCAAGCAAACAGCAATTCTAAGCATTGCAGAGACTCCAGCAACATTTGAGAACTCATTACGCCACGAAAATCTCCCGACTTCGGTGTTCGCAATGCCCACAAATGATATTTCAAAGTAAATTCGATTTTGAAGGCTTTCTAAAAGGTACTGACTTTAGAAAACTATCGTAATCAAGCGCTCAGTTTACTCAGCTCAATTTTCATTTCATTGATCAAGCTTTAGATTCCTGTCGATGTTAAAGAAAGTTACAGTCGTTTAGTAGCCTCGGAATGGACCGTACTCACACGTAGTCGAAGCGATCGGTTGGCTTTAGACGGAAAGCTCGATCTCGAGCGATCGAGTTAAAAATGTTAGCTAAAGAAAGTGACAGTGGTATAGCCTGACTCGACTTTACAGGGTGCGGCATAAGTATGGTTACAGACTCAGAACCGTGTATCGTAATGAAATATGAACGGATTCATGTAAATTTAATTTAAAATTAACAACAGTAATCATATTCATTTAAAAATAACAAATTATTCAATATGGGCACCTTTATTCTTGATAACGGCTTTAAGACGCTTTGGATAACTTTCCACCGCGGCCTACTACTTTGTGGAATTTCCGCCCAGGCTTTCTTCAGAGCCTTTTTCAGACTTTCAAAGTTTGCATGTTTTGTTGTGCATGCTTTTTACTCCAAAATTGCCCAAACACAGAAATCCATAACACTCATGTCGGGCGAATTAGCTGGCCATTCATTGGCGGGAATGAAGTCGGGCAAATTGTTTCGACACCACTCTTGAGTCTTTTTTGCTTTGTGCGCTGGGGCGCCGTTTTGCATCAACGTCCAGCGCTGATTTTGATAATCTCCTTGACTCCACGGCTGTGCATGTTTTGTGAGAACGTCCAGATACACGTCTGTGCTAATTTTCAGCCCTTTATTAACGAAAATCAGCGGTTGCTGACACCTCTGCAAAAACCATGACTCCTGCTGGATGTGAGTTCCTGTCCACAAATCGGTCACTTTTATTTGCTTCTTGAGGGCTGTAAGCCAAAATTCGATCATTTTGAGAGTTGAAAACTTGCTCAATGTTGACTAATTTCTCGTTGGTAAAAAGCATCGTCAGACGCTCATCATTTGCGGCCCTCGCAAGAAGAAAAGCACATTTTTGCTTCGTGTTTCTCATTTGAAGATCCGTCAGGCCATTATGCTTCCTTAACTTGTAAGGGTGAAGACCCAAATCCTTTTTGACGATACGACGGATAGTTCTATCAGAAACATTCAATTGGGAAGCCATTTTTCTCATGCTCCGGGCAGGATTGCGCTTGATTCGTTTCTTAATGATTTTCTTGAGTCTCGTGTGATCAATTTTTGGCGGACGTTCACTTTTAGGAAGCTCTTCGACTCTATTTTGTTGCAAAATGCGGTATACCGTCATTCGATGCATTTTCAGCAGTTTGGCAATATCCGAAGTTGATCGTCCTTGTGCTCCAAGCTGAAGAATAGCGGCACGGTTGGGAGAAGCCTTCACCATTATGTCCAAACTTAAAAATTTGCTTAAAAACTCCCACATAATATAAAAAAGCATTCAAATTAAGAGAAAATAACCCTTTGGCAAGAAATAAAAATCAATCAGTTTCTTAAATCAATGTTACAACCTTGTAACCATACTTATGCCGCACCCTGTAGTAGCCTCGGCTTTGGTAGATTCGACTACGCGCGAGTACGGTCCATTCCGAGGCTACAAACGACTGTAAATTTCTTATTTCTTTAGCGGTTAGCTTAGACGGTTGGCTTTAGACGGAAATCTCGATCAGGAAGCTTCTTCTGATAGTTTCTTCGTTTTTTCTATATTGAGCCGGGTTTTCACGGTATCTGGCAATCGTTTGATGAGAAGTTTTCACTTTTGCAGCGATTTCTTCGATTGAACACCTTCGATTGACCTTGACTATAGAGAAGATCAATTTAGCCTTTTTGATAATCGTTTAGCCTTTTTGATAATCGTTTAGCAATCTAATAATCGTTTAGCAATTCACCCCAGCTGCCATTTACCTTTAAAAGCTAAATATTAGGTTGTCCAGTTATGAATGCACGCCTGCTCTTGAACACGCCTGCTCTTGAACAGCATACCTTAGGGCTATACAATTTTATCAAACCCTATTCTCGATATGCTGTCCAAGATTTCTTATTTATTACAACTTTTCGTGTTTTTGACGCTAAACTTTAGGAATGATTGAATCGTTGACAATTTCTCACTTTGCGTATCAACTGTATCATAAGGAATAAGTAGAATAAGAAGGAGAAGAAGGAGAAGAAGAAGAAGAAGAAGAAGAAAAAGAAGAAGACGAATAAGAAGAAGGAGAAGAAGAAGAAGAAGAATAAGAAGGAGAAGAAGGAGAAGAAGAAGAAGAAGAAGAAAAAAAAAAAAAAAAAAAAAAAAAAAAAAAGAGAAAAGGGGGGGGAAAAGGAAAAGGAGAATAAGGAGAATAAGGAGAATAAGGAGGAGGAGAAGAAAAAGAATAAGAAGAATAAGGAGAAGAAAAATAAGTAGAATAAGAAGCAGGCTGATTCATTAGGTTGGCGGGAAAATAATGCGAATTTTTTGACCCGAATTTTTATTTTAAAAAAACAATAAATAAAGAGGATTAATATAAAAGGTATTCTCCATTATTATTTAGTGATTATGGACATTAGGACATTATGTCATCTTTTGCTCAATTCAATAATTCCATCTACAAAGAACTGGGGCCGTTTTAACGAAAAATAGTTGGTGACCGCATTTTCGACTTCCCGGAAATCCTTGAACAGCTGATCGGGGATGAACTGCTTTAGAGGCCTGAATAAGTGATAGTCTGATGGGGCCACGTCAGGGCTGTATGGGGCGTGAGGTAGAAGTTTCCAGCCCATCTCTTCGATTTGTTGGAAGATCATACTGCATTATCGATCGCAGGAGGCCGTCGTTGGTGGTTTTCGTCTTCCAAAGATTGATTTCCCTCTCGAAATCGTTGAAACCATCGGCGACACTGGCTTTCCGAAATAGCATCCTCGCCAAATACTTTCGATGAGATCTCGATGAGATTCAGCGGCATTTTTGCCCAATTTGAAGTCTTTGAAGTCATACCAAAGACTGGCACGAAGACGAAACTTTGTCTCGGTCATCTAAACACGGAAATTATTAGGTTGGCGGGAAAATAATGCGAATTTTTAACTTGTGCTCTTGGGAAAGTAATGGCCGACAAACAGAGAACAGAGAGCGAGAGTAACAGAGAAGCAGAGTGTGTTAAGCAGAGCAGAGTAACAGAGAAGCAGTAGAAGCTTACACAATCATAATATTATTCGAAAACATTTGTTCATTTGTTATCAAAAAATGACGGAACAAAAATTCCTTATTCGAGCTGCTGACTTCGAGCCTTACTCTGACTTTAAGCTTGGAAAATCTGCCCGTCAATCGCATAATTCTATTTCAAAGGCCTATGGCGCAGGTAGTATTAGCGAAAGCCAATGTTATCGATGGTTTGAGCGATTTCGAAATGGAAACAAGAGCCTAGAAGATGAGGATCAAGAAGGACGTCCTGAATGAGTCTGGAAAGCTGGATGAGTCTGGAAAGCGGGATGAGTCTGGAAAGCTGGATGAGTCTGGAAAGCTGGATGAGTCTGGAAAGCTGGATGAGTCTGGAAAGCTGGATGAGTCTCAACTTTTGCAAATTATCGAAGAAGATCCCACTTGCATCACTCGGGAGTTGTCGGAAATGTTCAATGTTCATCATAGCACCATTGAAGAGCATTCACATTTGATTGGAAAGCGAAACAGATGCGAGAGTTGTTATCTTAAAAACGCGAATTTATAACTGGACAACCTAATATTACAGTGGTAGAGAAGAAGTAAAAATACAACAAAGACGAAAAAAAATCGATGTGGATTACGATGGTTTTCTAAAATAGACGGGTTTTTTTTAGATTATTGTAATCATTGTAAATTGTAATCACTTAGTAATCAGCATCATTGCAATCAGCATCATTGTAATCACTTTTAGATGCCATCGATTTGGGCATTCACTCAGCCGAAACGCATCTCCGTGTCGTTCACCAATGCGCGATTTGTCACTCAACACATGACACGATTTTAGATTTCAAGGTGTGTTTGAAGAATGAGTTAAGAATGAGCTCGTTCTCTAAAAGCTTTCAATCCTACTGTAGTGATCAAAAACATTTCAAGGAACACTTCCAAATGCACAGTGAAGAGAGGGAAGTCCCCGCGTGCAATGTGTGCGATGTGGCGTTCAATTCGGAGGAGATTCTCACACTACACATTCAGCTTACGCACAGGTAATTGCTGCATTCAAGGATGATCTAAGATCGGGTTAGACTGGAAGCCTGGCTTATCTTTATGGCTTCATCTGGAATGGCTGGAATGGCTTGATCCTAGGTCCTAGGTCTGCGAGTTCTGGGCCTGAACCTAGCGAGTTCTGAACCTGGACCTAGCGGGTTCTGAACCTGGACCTAGCGAGTTCTGAACCTGGACCTAGCGAGTTCTGGACCTGGACCTAGCGAGTTCTGGACCTGGACCTAGAGAGTTCTGGACCTGGACCTAGCGAGTTCTGGACCTGGAGCTAGCGAGTTCTGGACCTGGACCTAGAGAGTTCTGGACCTGGACCTAGCGAGTTCTGGACCTGGACCTAGCGAGTTCTGAACCTGACCTAGGGAGTGCTGGACCTGGACCTAGCGAGTTCTGGACCTGGAGCTAGGGAGTTCTGGACCTGGACCTAGCGAGTTCTGGACCTGGAGCTAGGGAGTTCTGGACCTGGACCTAGCGAGTTCTGGACCTGGACCTAGGGAGTTCTGGACCTGGACCTAGCGAGTTCTGGACCTACCTAGTTCTGGACCTGGACCTAGGGCGTGCTGGACCTATCTCTGTCCCAGGACAGAGCTGAAAGGTAAGCTTTGTCCTGGCTTACCTTTCAGAGTTAGACTGAAACAATTTTTCCACGCTAAGCCATTCCAAACGTGGCTCAAGGATGTCCAGCAGACAGCCCTGGACCTCTAGGTGCCCAGGGCTGTCTGCTGGATCCTGATTAAACCATTTCAATCTATACTACTTGAAGGTTGATCTTTTATACTTAAGAACGTCTACCGTCAGTCCAATGACTTTTAAACTTTAAAATGCTAATGAAAAAGAGTTACTGGAGAATACTAATTGAGGCACCAAATGCCAGAATGCCAATTCAGCATTTAAAAAACAATTTAGAGAACCAACGAGGCCACCAAGCGGTTTCCCGTTACTACCACCATTTCACTTTCCCAATTTCGACTTCCAAATGCCAATCGATCCATCATTGGAACCAAAAAGCTCACTTGATTCAAAGGTTTTTATTGAATGATTCGTTTTTCACTTTTAAAACTAGGGTCGTCGACTTCACTGCTCGGTTTGTGATGTTGAGTGTGATGGGGAGGAGGCGCTTGATGAGCATCGACTCATCGCTCATTGCAAGGTTGACCTTAAAACTCAATCTAGTGAAAGACAAAGATAAAGTAAAAAGGCAAATTGGCAAACGAGCTTAAAAGAAAGCTATCAGCTTTTAAAGATGGACAACTTTTAAAGCCATCTTTTTTTCTTTCAACTTCAACTAGTCCTTCTTTCAAACTTTCCCTTTCTACGTAATTTTGATTCCATTCAATAAACATTTTCTTTCCTAAGCGAATAAGAGCAAAATTAAGTAGTAAAGTAGTAAGTAAGTAAGTAAGTAGTAAAGTAGTAAGTAAGTAAGTAAGTAAGTAAGTAAGTAAGTAAGTAAGTAAGTAAGTAAGTAGGAAGGAAGGAAGGAAGGAAGGAAGGAAGGAAGTAGTATAGTAAACAAAAACTGAAGGCAAGCTTGCGGTAGCTTTCTAAAGGATTCAAATTTTTGAGGTGCTTAAACAAAAACTGAAGACAGACGACAAGAAGACAAGAAACCTACGCTAATTGTAAGCAAGCTTTACAGTACCTACCGTAAATACTGTAATAGTACCCCAGCCGTACAGTCGCGTAGTCGCAAAAGTTTTTTAGTATTTCATTTTTTCCAAAGCACCCGTGCTTTCAAAAAATGCGTCTTTGGTATGAAAAAATAGCTGAAATTCAGGGCTATTTTTTTGATACCTAAGCGCGCATTGTAGCATAGGCCAGTGTCGAGAAAAACTCGTTCAAAGCTTGACTACGCTAGACTACGCAACACTCCGCACCGTGATTATGGGGGTGAAAACAAAACTTGTCAAAAATTATGAAGCTCACCTTTTTTGCTTATAGTTGTCAGCTCAGCCTAATTGAATCCAAAACTACCAACTGTTAAATAGAGAATTGAAGCCCTGAATCTTGGCTACATTTATCTACCGCGAAACTTGTAAATTATAAAATTCAATTCAACTACCAAGCTCGCAAATGAGCTCTAGCCGGCATTTCTTCCAAAAACCACTTTTTCTGGGATAGTAAATGGGGAAGAAGGCGTCCTTTTATAGGCGACAAGAGACGTAAGCGCGACATTGTTTAGGGTACGGTATTTCTAGTGTCTTATTAGACTGCAGCAGTTTTATTGACTCGCCTATCTAAGTATCTATCAGTCTCTTAAGCCAGTCTTTTCGAAAGACTTCCACAGTGTGCAATGGCCGACTGGTTAGCGGGCTGGCGCCAAGTGCGAGAGGTCCAGGCTTCGAATCCGGCTTCAGTCAAACGTTTTCCTTTTTTAACAAAAGCTCAAATACAATAGAAAGGCTGGTTTGCCGCTCCATTTTCTGATCCAAAGATTCAGATTAATGACTCTTGAGCTTTAGAAGAATGAAAATAGAACATCTACTCTAATCCAGGTTCTCCGCGGCGATCGCTGTTCGATGTGCAGTGCGGTGTTGAGTGTCCCATCGGAGCTGGCCACTCATTCCAGACTTCACGCGACGAATGGGCAAATCTCGTGCGCTGTTTGCAGGTAATCCAGACAACGAATCAAGCACCAGTTCAACAATTCAAATCCCAGGCAAACGATGCGCAACGATGGCCACCTACAATTGCATTCGCATTTCCATCTCGCAATGACCACTCTACCCGTTTCAACGCAAATTTTCGAGCCAACCGAAACCTTGACAAATCCCGAGGAAAGAACGGCTCCAACTAGTTGTTTTGCGTGTCACGAGGTGATCAACACTACCCTAAATAAAAAGAGAAAAATCTAGAATTTCATCGAAAATGAGAAGCTCGATGCGCATCTGCTTAAACACGATTCAGAAGCCAGATGTCCATATTGCATTAAAGATATAAAGCCGAGCAATTTGGTGAGAAAAAAATGTAAATTTCAGAAAAGTTATCGCTTCAGTTATCCCACATAAAAGAACGGCATGGCAATGAAGAAGCGGAAACGGAATGTGCCCGGTGCGGAAAGCAATTTCATTTCCGAATCCATTTAGAACAACACCAAAATCAAGGGAAATGTGTAGCGCCTAGGTAGGTATCCATAGTTTATCCATAGATACAATAATTTAGTTCTGATAACATCGATACGTGGAATATTTTTCCGAAGCCCAGCCTAAATCCGAGAGACCCTTTGCCGCTCAACCAACCACCGCCGAATATGCTTCCTTTCAATGAAACACCAAAAACTCAAAGGTAGTAAATGCCTAAAGACCAAGATACAACAAAAACTTCAGGTGCCCAATTTGTGGACTTTCTTTTAACACATCTGTTAGACTGGAGGCACATATAAAGAAGCACAACTCGACAAGCCGTTCCATTTGCCAAATCTGCGCAAAAAGTTTTAACAGGTATCCATTATACGTATAATGGACAACTTTTAAAGCCATCTTTTATTTTTAGCACCAAAAAAATATTTAGCAAAGAAGACTTGACTAAACATATGAAAGTCCACAAAGGGAACCTCGAAACGGCTGCAAGACTCGCATCTTAATTTGATTATTTGACTTTATGTTGCTCAATGTTTTGTGTTTTTGTTGTTGTTTTAAAAGAAAAGTTTATTTATATTTAATTTTTTTTCGAAACAACTTGAGTAACAATAACAATGAGAGAAAACACTTAACAAGCAATAAACCTACACTAGACACTAAACAAATTCAAAATAAAAAGATAACCGTAAATGAATGAGAGGTGCAAGAAAGCGACTTCACTCTTGTCTTGCGTTTAGAACATGCCACCGCCTCCCATTCCCCCCATTCCGCCCATCGCTGGAGCCGCAGCTTCCTTCTTTGGGATCTCCGTCACAACGCACTCCGTTGTTGCCAAAAGAGAAGCGACACCAGCAGCATCTTGGAGAGCAGTTCGAACAACCTTTAACAAGAGAATGTGAAAAATGCATTCATAAATAGTTACCTTTGTTGGATCGATAATTCCAGCATCAGTCATATCGACGAACTTGTCGTTCAAGGCATCGTATCCATATGAAGGGTTCTCGTTGGCAAGGACTTTCTCGACAATTGAAGATGGCTCAATTCCAGCGTTGCGAACAATCGTTGAGATGGGTTGTCTGATAGCCTTCTTGACGATTTCAACACCTCGCTGTTGATCCTCATTAGGGGCCTGTAAACAAACAAAATTTAGAGAAAACAAAACGCGATCACCTTGAATTTGTCCAATGCCTTTAACGTGCGCAACAAAGCAACGCCTCCTCCGGGAACGATGCCCTCTTCAACAGCTGCACGAGTTGCACACAAAGCATCAGTGACGCGATCTTTCTTCTCATTGACTTCAACCTCTGACGAGCCGCCCACCTAAACAATACTCACTCACTAGCTTATACTCATTAGACAAACCTTCAGTACTGCAACTCCCTTCGAAAGTTTGGCCAATCGTTCATTCAACTTTTCTTTCTCGTACTCGGATGTACTGCTTTCAATCTCCTCTGCGATTTGCTCAACTCTTCTTTCAATTTCTTTGGGTTCTCCCTTTCCACGGAGTAGCAGGGTGTCGTCCTTGGTGATAACAACTTCTTCAACCTCTCCGAAGTCGTGTGCTTGAACTTCCTCCAATTTCACAAGGTTTGAGTCGTCTCCGAACACAGTTCCTCCGGTGGCGATGGCTATCTAAAATTAAATTTACCTTAAAGTAGTAGGTGACAAAAGAATTAACAAAGGCGACCCACATCTTTCAGCGTGTTCTTTCGATTGTCACCAAATCCAGGCGCTTTCACAGCAACCACGTTGAGCCCAACCTGAAGATGCAAAATGTAAGTAATTTAAAGTATTTTGAGTAAAAACACAGTACCTTTAATCTGTTAAGCACCAGTGTCGTCAAAGCCTCTCCCTCAACATCTTCAGCGATAATCACAAGAGGTCTTCGATGTTTGTTGGCGAGCTCCAAAGCAGGGACGATGTCTTGAACTTGGGCAATTTTCTTTTCGGAAAGCAGCACCAAAGCCTTCTCATATTCAACCTAAAGTTCAAATTGATTATAACAATTGCAGAATTTTTATATACTATATTTAAACAGAAATCAACAATACCTTGGCTCCTTTGGCGGTGTTGATGAAATACGGAGAGATGTAGCCGCGATCGAATTTCATTCCTTCAATCACTTCCAATTCGTCTTGTAACGTTTTTCCATCCTTGACCGTGATAACTCCTTTGTTTCCAACTTTCTTCATGGCCGTTGAGATGAGATCACCGACAATCTTGTCACCATTCGCAGAGATTGTAGCGACTTGAGCAATCTCTTCTGGGCTAGTGACCTAAAGACACCATTTAGATGAATGAAAGTATAATCTTACTTGTTTGCTCATCGCCTTCAATTCGCTGACGACAACATCAACGGCGGCCATAATACCACGGCGAATTTCGACGGCGTTCACACCTTTGCTGATGATCTCGAAACTTTCCTTGGCAATTGCACGAGCCAAAACGGTAGCACAAGTTGTTCCATCTCCAGCCTCCTCATTCGCTTTGTTGGCAACGTCCTAAATTAAAAAGTTAATAAGTTGTACAACATCTTTATGTAGTAATTTTTGGCCATTACCTCTACAAATTAAAAAATTCTAGCCACACTAGTGTTACCAGTTTGTTAAAAGCCTAGCAAGTGATCAAACTACCAACAATTACTACAGTTTGTTGAAGCTTTGTAAGCCCAACAAGTATCAAACTACCAAGAAGCAACAAACCTTGAAATCTACTTTACTAAAGGCTAAACAGACCTGGATCAATTTTGCTCCAAGATTGTGATACTTGTCCTCGAGATCGATCGCCTTTGCCACGGTGACTCCATCCTTCGTGATCTTTGGACTTCCCCACGATTGCTCGATGACGACATTTCTCCCTTTTGGTCCCATGGTCACTCCAACTGCATCGGCGAGTAGATCCACGCCGACGAGAAGGGCTTTTCGGCTCTCCGATCCGAAGCGCAGGTCCTTTGCGTAGCCACGGACTGCGAGTTGTCGTAGGGAAGAAGAAGCAAGGCCAAGTCGAAGCATCTAAAATAGAAATATTTGTATAAAAGTTTTAGAAAAAGTACAACAAGATTATTAAAGAGCGAAATCTTGGAGCTAGTTAAAGACGTGTTACTAAAAACAGTGTGAGCGAACAAAATGTTAGATTCGTTGATTTTAGGGGAGCTTCTTTGCTTAACATAGCGGTTTTTGGACGACAAAATTTTTTTGGCCACAAATCAAAAGCTAGCAATTTTTTTATTGAGTATCTTAACAAGAGTGAGAGAAAAGAAAATTTACCTAGAAATTTCTGTCGAGAAAATGACGAAATCTTAAAATTGCGTCCACGCCGTTTCGTCGCGTAGTCAGTTTCTACCTAACGAAAAGGGGAAATTCTTATTCTTGTCCCTTTACTTTGCTTTTCCATTATTTTTTTTTCAACTTATCATCAATTTTACAACTTTAGGTTGCTCTTTCTCCGACGGGTTACATATAAAGATGTTCATTTCGCTTGTTCGTCAATCTGCTGTAAGTTTTTAAACATTTTTACAAACGAAAAATATCATTTTAGGTTCCTCATGTGCTAAAATCGTTTGCACCTTTGTTCGATCGCGTCCTTGTCGAACGATTCACGCCAGAGGTTCGGTTTCGTTTTTAAAATGAAGTGGCAATGTAAAGAATTTATGAAGTTTGGAATTGAGTTGTTTTTGGCACGAAACAATTACAATACAACCATTTGTAATTGATTTAAAAATTGAACGTTAATCAGCCGGTCAATCAAATTGTTTATTTTAAGGAGTCAAGCAAGATTTAAACACTTGTTATAATTACTGAGGGATGTTATGAACAAAAAATATTAAAGTTTAATCTCGGTTATACCGAAAAGCAACATGGCCATCATAAATTGTTTTGAAAAGAATTTTTTCGAGGCACATGACACATGTGATACAAGAAGCTGTCTAATATGTTAAAGGGATGACTATTAATATAGTTTTGTTTAGCTGAAGACCAAGGGAGGCATCATGCTTCCGGAAAAGTCCCAAGGGAAGGTGCTCGAGGCTACCGTCGTTGCTGCGGGACCTGGCGCAAGAAACGAGAAAGGTGACACTGTCCCGATGAATGTAAAGGCCGGTGATCGTGTTCTTCTTCCTGAGTACGGTGGCACAAAGGTTTGTTATAAATTACGCGATTCTATATACTTTTTGTTTAGGTGATCATCGAGGACAAAGAATACTCGATCTTCCGAGAGAGCGACATCCTAGGAAAGTTCAAATAAGAGACCGATCAAAGCATCACGATTTCTTATGGCTGTTTGATCTACGCTCAATTTTTGTTTTTCTTTATGTTTCTTGAAATTGTTTTTTGCCAAGGTTAGAATTTAGATTTGATAGTTGTTCTGTTTTTGTTTGTTATTTTCTTGTTTGAAATAAATTTTTTGCTACAAGAAAGAAATTGTGAAAGTTTGGAAGCGAAGCCAAAACATACTCGGAATAAATTGCATTAGATTCATAATTGCTGGTCTATCACGTCGTTTTTAAGATGAAAAAGCCCGTTCAACATCTGGTGATCGACACAAACGCTTTGATTCATCCTGTTGAACTGCATGTAAGCCTTTAATAAAATGGATTGAAACGTATAAACTAGTGCTTTTCTTGTGTAAATTTTTGTTATGTGTGAAATAATTATTTGATCTAGAATATCGCCGAGAAGTTCTACGCGCCACCGGGAGTTCTGGCCGAAGCGAGATGTCAAAGGAGTCGAATCAAAATCGACACCTTCCCCTTCGAAATTGTATGGCGTGATCCATCGAGTGAATCGATGGCAAAAGGTTTTGATGCTTTTTGATCAGTTTTATTTTTTTTTCCTTCAGTTGTCGAGGAATCAAAAAAGACTGGAAATTACCCAGAGTTATCGGCTGTGGATCTAACGGTAGGGCTTGTTTAAAAAATTTTACTTCTTAAATAATGAATACAATATCTTTTGCATAAAATATTGTATATGAAATTTGTTTAGGTTTTGGCTCTCACTTTGGACCTATGGAAACAACACTGTGGTGGAAGCACTGAAGTAGCTTCTAAAGATCTTACAATGGAAGAGGTTATTTTTTTAAAATCTTGATTTGAAACTTTGAGGAATTTTGTTCTGAATCTTTGTACATTTAGGTCGAAAATAAAGTCAAGGATTTGCATTTGGAAGCACCAAATACTTCAGAGGTAACTTTGCCTTTTTTATTCTATTATTATTTCTTTAGGAAGAAGTTGAAGACGGTGATCACGAAGAGCAAGGACAAGTTTTCGAAAAAGGAGATCTCCCCGAAGGCTTTTGCGCAAATGTGAGTGTGTAATCACTTCTTGTAATCTTGTAAGAGTGTTAATATTTTAGGCCGACAGCTCTGATGAGGAGGGTTGGATGACTCCTGAATCGATAGATACGGCTTTAAACAAAATGGGAGCAATAGAGGTTTGAGAATATGTGCTATTTTCTTATTCAAAATTCAGGTATCTGAAGGTACGGAAGTTGGTTGTATCACGACAGATTTTGCCGTTCAAAACGTTTTGCTACATATGCATCTCGGTTCGTAAGATTTCTTTCCTTTAAGTTTAATTTTTATTTTATTTGAGAGTTGATCTCACTTACTGGCTATCGCATTAAGAAGATCCAAACATATGTACTCCGTTGCCGATCTTGTTTCAACACTACATCCAACATGGAAAAAGAGTTTTGCGCAAAATGCGGTAACAAAACACTGCATAAGGTAAGGCTTTAAAATGCTTTTTCAAAAAAAAGAAGTAATTTTAGTGTGCCGTTTCGATAGATAAAGATGGAAAGCAACAACTACATCTGAATTGGAGACGCTTGACTAATCTTCGAGGACTAAAATACAGGTTGTTTTGATTTTCAGTTAATTTACTCTAATCATTTAGTATGGCCGCTCCTAAAGGTGGAAAGCATGCGGCTGTGGAGAAAATTGTTGAGGTAACTTTTGTTTGTAAATATTTAATTACTTAAAAATATTTAGGACCAACGTATGCCTGATCAACGCGTCGCTAAATGCCGTACAAAGCAGTTTGATGATAGCCCGTTCTCGATGAGAGACACCACAAGTCGCAGTGCTATGCTTGGTGTCGGTGTACAAATTCATCGACAACAGAGGTAGAATTTTGAGCTTTTCACTTTGCTAGGAAGTTAAACTTATTTATCGAATCAAGTAATTTTATACTTTCTTGCCTTTAGATCGAAGAACCCGAATGAATCAAGACCAAGTACGGGAAACAAACGAGGGAAAAAAAAGTAACTGTTCTGTTTGTTGTTTTTTGTTGCTTTGTTATTTTGATTGTTGAGTTTATAAAATTTTAGAACTTTATACAATTCAAATCGAAGAAAAAGCAAACGAATGTGAAAATGAGGTAATCAGTAGCACTCAACGAAAGAAACTAGTAAAATTTTGGGGATTTAATTATTAATTTCAAAAGCATTTGCACCTTGTCAAAAGAAATGGCAAAAACAAATTCAAAATGCAATAACCGTATTTCCAAATGAAGATAGCGATCGAAAGATCACATTGGACAAGAAGAAAGTTCTACAAAAGCCATCAAAATTTTCACCGGCAGCAACAATTTTCTTCGACTAGAGCTTTGTCGCCGAGTTGAATCTTTAGCGTCCCTGAAAATTCATTGAATATTTTCAAAAGGATTTCACTGCATAAAAACAAAATGTGTAGCTACAAGAGTCAAAAACGTGTGCTCAAGAGGGAAAAATGTACACTAAACACCTGTGTCGGAAAACTTATTCGTATGTAAACTCATCATCCAATTGATACCACTAAATGAGGGTTTTCTTTGAAAATATTTTTTATTTAGATATTTTTTAGTTTCCACCTCATTGAAGGGCTCCGGTTCGGCAAGGGGCGCCTGTGGGAGGAGAAGATATCCGGGAGCGGCTGATGAGTAACGAGGTGGGGCGTGAAGACCTCCAACTGTATCTCGCCCGCCCAACGCTGAACGTTCAGATGAGAAACGGCGAACACGGTGACGAACAACTTCGGCTACTCTCTAGAATTGGATTTTTTAGGAGCAATCTGTAAGTTCTGTGATTCTCTAGTTAAAGACAAAGGTTCTTATTTTATAGGACTTAACGCGGTGGGACTTAACGGACTTAAGGGACTCAACGGCGGGACTTAACGGACTCAACGGCGGGACTTAAGGGACTCAACGGCGGGACTTAACGGTAATCTTTTGGATTAAAAAAGACTTGAATGTTCAATTTTCATTCGAGTTACGAAAAGCTCAAGGAGATAGTTTTTACCATTTACATTTAGAAAACAAACACATTCTAGGAGGACCATTGCTTTGCAAGTCTTCAAGATGATCAAGAACATTTTTTGAAACTTTTGCAAGTATATCTGATCTGTGTCAGACGGAAAGTCACTTAGTACGTGACTACGCAACTTTCCGTTTTACAGGAGTGAAGCAAAAAAACAAACAAACCATAGTTCAATTGGTGCATTTGTTGGTTTTAAACGGAAATAAGAAAAGGAACGAAAAGACTTTTTGAACAGCTTAATATTATTGAGAAACCGATCCAAGCTTTTGCACTCTTTTAGGGATTTGTATATGTGACCGTGTAACAATCGATGTTGAAGCAACGACTTTGTTGAAGCAATTCTCTTTCACTCACCGCTTTCTTACTCTCGTGTTTATTCGCACAACAGCAAGCGATGAAAAAGGTGAGAATCGCGTAGAGAGGAATCGGCACAACGGGGATCAACGCGAGAGCCGCTCCCACCCATTCACTCCATGGCCAAGCGTGGATGGCCGGCGAATAACGCGAGAAATCGTAACCGCTCACGTTCACGAAAGCGATACCCTGGAATTTGGGATTTGAACGTTTGAACGTTTGAAAACGTTTGAAATTTGAAATCTGAAATCTGAAACTCACAATGGGAACAATTGGCAGCAAGTAGGTGAAGAAAAGAAGGAAATGGCCGAGACACCAGCAACAAGACGGAGATAACATGAAGTGGAGATCATTTCCCAAACGGTGGCCACCTGAATGAAGAGGTTTTAAAGATCGATTTGTAACCAGAAGTCTTTCTAAATGTAAAGCCTTTAAAACTGAAGCTCAGATTCAGCACTGGCTGGCAGTGCCAAACTCAGCACTAAGCTTGCAGTAAGACCAGGTCAGACACAAAGTGCACATGAACATACGACTTACAGTAAATCCAGGCCACCGCCAAAAGCTCGGCTGCGAGAATCGACCACAGTGTGACGTAGCGCAGCGATCCAACGGCTAATTCGTACGCGTGACGACCCGCCTAGATTGGCATACTCATTGTCCTAGTAGAAGATTCACAATTTTTGAGTATCACATGCTGAGACTTAGTAGCTGATCAATAGCTGATCAGTAGCTGATCAGTAGCTGATCAGTGGCTGATCAATAGCTGATCAATAGCTGATCAGTAGCTTGGTTTCGAGTCAAAAGGCCAGCTTGACTCTCCTTTCCCTTATCATTGTAAGTCTCAGCATTTCGATCATTCATTTCAGAGCTTCTTTACTGTTTTTAAAAACTTCAGATGATTTACCTGTGTCGTGAAATAGAGACTACACGCCATCACGAGGCTGCACACGAAAAACGCCAAAAGAAAACGCGGAAAACATTTTGAGGCTCTGAATTTTGGGGTTTTATTTGATGAAAAATTTTCCCACTTTTCCCCGAGCGCATCCTCCAATGTTGAGAGAATAGATAGAGAAAGGAGAGCCTAAAAAAAGAAAGATTACAATGGGGGAAAATCGTAGCTGATTGCATTCTTACTTTGTAAAATTCTGAACTAGAGATTTTTGAGTATTTTATTAAACAACATTTTTTTTTGATTTGTTTTCTAATTTCGATTTTCTAATTTTCTAATTTTCTAATTTTATATGATATTTTATCATTAGATTCTTTAGATTCTAATTCTTAGATTCTAAGACTCACGAAAATGTTGTAGAGAATGAAGATTGAGGAGAAGAGAAGAATGCCAGACCAGAGAACGGTTTGTGGGAGGTGCGAGAAGTAGGCCAAGAGGTAGTAGAGCTGCTCTTCGCCTGGAAATCATTGAAATCTAGAAAAGCTAGGAAATCTAGAAAAGCTAGAAAAGCTAGAAAAGCTAGAATCTAGTTAACAATCGTTTTTTTTTTTGATTACTAGATTAAAACTCACCCTTCACCATGAGTTCACTCGGCGGCAAACCGCTCTTCACCGACACATAGCCAACCAAACCGATCACGGTGGCTACCTGAAAAGGTATAGGTTAAGGTACAGCTTAAGATACGGGTTTAGGTACAGCTTAAGGTACAGGTTTAGGGAAATGTTTTCACAGAATTTCTGAATTTTATAGGCTCTAATCGATTCTACAGGGTGACCAAGAATTACCGCAACAACTTTTCGGACAAGTATCTGGGAAATGTCTAATTTATTTCAAAAGTGGCAAGTGTTATACAGAGAATTGTAGGCCTAATTCTCGGCAACATTTATCTACCAAAAACATCTCGATTGGACTTATACAACTCGTTTAAGAAGCGCTTGAATGAGCGCTAGTCGACATCTCTCCGGCGAATCTGTCATTTGGCCACTTTTCTCTATTAAAAATTGTTAAGAAAAGTGTGATTCCTAATGTTATTAAGTGATATTAAACGCTATTCTTGCATTGAAGAAATATTGAAAACCTTTTCTTAACAATTTTTAATAGAGAAAAGTGGCCAAATGACAGATTCGCCGGAGAGATGTCGACTAGCGCTCATTCAAGCGCTTCTTAAACGAGTTGTATAAGTCCAATCGAGATGTTTTTGGTAGATAAATGTTGCCGAGAATTAGGCCTACAATTCTCTGTATAACACTTGCCACTTTTGAAATAAATTAGACATTTCCCAGATACTTGTCCGAAAAGTTGTTGCGGTAATTCTTGGTCACCCTGTAGAATCGATTAGAGCCTATAAAATTCAGAAATTCTGTGATCTGATCTATCTGTACGGGCATTTTCTATCGTCTTTGGGCCAAAAGGCGGTGAATTTTAAGATTGAGTGGCACTAGGGGGGAGTCGAACCCGGGCCGCGCGGCCTGTAGAAATGCGTGCTCCCGATTGCGCCACGACGAGCATTCCGGCCCCCAAAAAACAACTAGATAAACCCGTCATTAGCCGGTTTTCGGCTGGTATCTTATAATTAAAAATCCACTTAACGACCGGTTTATATAGTTGTTTTTTTCACGGCGACGAATGGTCGTCGTAGCGCAGTGGGGAGCACACATTTCTACAGCTCACACGATCCGGGTTCGATCCCTCTTAGTGCCACTCAATGTTTAAACTTTGATTTTTATTTCTTTTAAATACCATAGCTATATTATATTTTAAGAGATTTCAGTTTTTTATTATCCAAAAACCGCCGAAATGTTTATGCAAATAATTATGATTTCAAATCAAATCTAACTATCGCTTAAAACTGTAAACAAACCCTTTCTGGTGCATTGATTTCTTCACTTTTCTCTAACTGATTGTTTGCAAAAGGAAATTAAAGAATTCAGTGCACTAGAAAGGATGTGTTTACACTTTTGAGCACAAAAATCCCTTCACTTTTTTACCTGCATAAGCGAGAAAACGATGTGAGCAAAAACGATGAGCACCGAGTCACTAAAAAGGAAATTGAGTCGATGAAAGTTTAGGGAAAGATTTAGAGCTTTCAGGCATCTTTAAGATCATCTAGAAGCATCTAGAGGCATCTAGAAGCATCTAGAGGCCTCTAGAGGCATCTAGAAGCATCTAGAGGCATCTAGAGGCCTCTAGATGCTTCTAGATGCCTCTAGAGGCATCTAGAAGCAACTAGAGGCATCTAGAGGCATCTAAAGGCATCTAGAAGCATCTAGAGGCATCTAAAGGCATCTAGAAGCATCTAAAGGCATCTAGAAGCATCTAGAGGCATCTAGAAGCATCTAGAAGCATCTAGAGGCATCTAAAGGCATCTAGAAGCATCTAGAGGCATCTAGAAGCATCTAGAAGCATCTAGAGGCATCTAGAAGATCTAACTAACTTCAGGAATAGATCAAAATTCAGCAAAACTAGATGTCAATAAATGTCGATGTCAAGAAACTCACGCAACAAGGTTGTTGCTCCTTTTACTGTAGCTGCCCATTGTGATAAAAGCGCCGAAGCCGACCCCGCAAGCCATAATAGCTTGCTCGCCGGCTAAAGCCCATACCTGAATGGTTAAACTTTAAATGGATTCTATTTCTTTTTTACCGTATAATCCTCCAATTTCCTCCAATCGGTCGCTTTCCAAAAGACTTGAAGAATCTCTGGCAATCCGTCGATCGTCAACGCTCGGATGCATAGAGCTAACAGGGCTGAGAAAGCGGCGATGATCGAGAATGGGATCAACTAGAAAAAGAGACTTTAGCAGCTAGTGGATTGCAACTAGTGGACGCCAAAATCATCAAACAGGGCCACCGTTTAAACTAACTTTTCCCAACAATCGAACACCGAAGCAGATCATCACAAAGACGCCAACCCAGACAACACCGTGACCGATCAGGAAATGCAGATTGAAGTCACCGAAATCCGCAATCGATTGAGAAGAAGGGTCCAAAGTGCTAAAGATTTCGAAAGTGCTAAAGTGCTAAAGAGCTAAAGAAAGATTATCTTCAAGATGCATAGGGAACTAGAATCCATTAGATCTATTAGATCTAGAATCTATTAGATTTCACAAGGATTGTTTAAAAAGGTTTTCACAGTCAGGATTCACAGTCAGGACTCGCAGCCAGGATTCGCAGTTAAGATAGCAGTTAAGATTCGCAGTTCAAGATTCGCAGTCAGGATTCGTCTTTCTTAACAGTCAAGAACCGCATCCAGGATTCGCAATTAGGATTCGCCTTTCTTTAGAGCTTTTCTCAAGGCTAGGATTAGACCAGAGAATCTTGATTTGACTTGGCTTTCATCTTGGCTTCTGTTTGGTCTAGCCTGGTATAAAGATCCAGCTAGAACATCTCTCACTATGGCCTGAGTCTAAGCCTGAGCCTAAGCTTGAGTCTAAGCCTAGCCTACCCTAAGCCTAGTCTAGTCTAGCCTACCCTAAGCCTAGTCTAGTCTAGCCTACCCTAAGCCTAGTCTAGTCTAGCCTACCCTAAGCCTAGTCTAGTCTAGCCTACCCTAAGCTTAGCCTAAGTCTAGCCTAGCCTGAGCTAAAGTGTGCATATGGCCTAACGAGTTCAATAGCCTAAGCCTAGCTTGAGCCTAGCCTAGTCAAGTCTGAGCCTATCCTAGACTAGTCAAGCCTGAGCCTAGCCTAGCCTAGCCAAGCCTAGCCAAGCCTAAACCAAGCCTGAGCCTAGCCTAGCCAAGCCTAAGCCTAGCCTAAGCCTAGCCTAGCCAAGCCTGAGCCTAGCTTAAGCCTAGCCTAAGCCTAGCCTAGCCAAGCCTGAGCCTAGCTTAAGCCTAGCCTAGCCTGAGCCTAGCTTAAGCCTAGCCTAAGCCTAGCCTAGCCAAGCCTGAGCCTAGCTTAAGCCTAGCCTAAGCCTAGCCTAGCCAAGCCTGAGCCTAGCTTAAGCCTAGCCTAGCCTGAGCCTAGCTTAAGCCTAGCCTAAGCCTAGCCTAGCCAAGCCTAAGCCTAGAGAACTGTTCAAATGTTGAATCTAAAACAAACTTGACAAAGTGCATCATAGAGCTCTCTTGATTGAGAGTAGAGATCTTTGTATGCGCATCGATTGTCAGATTTGCGAGTTGTCCAGCGTCTCTACATGCTTCACCATGTCTTACAAACTCCGGGAAACCCCGACACCGTAGCCATGGAACATCTGAAGTTTATTTTGCTGAATTTACTGTTTAATGGTTTTAGTAACATTTACGCTTAAAGTAACAAGCGCTTAAAGATCTTTTAGTAACATTTATGAGTAGTAAACATGTACAATAAAATGTTTAGCAACACGTAGAATGGTTGAGTCGAGAATTTGTGGCAATTTGTGACCTCATAAGCGTCTATTAGGTTTCAAAAGTCGTGCCTGGGGTTTAAAGCATAGTCATAGCATTACCCGATGTGATTTGTACAAGATTCAAGTCTCTTGGTTCGATTTTTTCACCAAATCTTACTCGAAAAGCTACCTGGTCTTCCCTCAATCAATGACCAAAAGAGGTAGTAGAAGAAGAGCAAGAGTTGAGCGAGATAGCGAGTCATTGTTGCCAATACGAGCACACAAAGCAGTGTTTGAGCCACACCAACGCCTGAATTTGATTTAGATTTAGATTTAGATCTTCGGGCTTTGCATCAGCTTCTATATCAGCTTCTATATCAGCTTCTGTATCAGCTTCTATATCAGGCTTTATTAGCTTCTATAACAGGCTTTATATCAGCTTCTATAACAGGTTTTAGATCAGCTTCTATAACAGGCTTTAGATCAGCTTCTATATCAGGCTTTAACAGCTTCTATAACAGGCTTTATATCAGCTTCTATAACAGGTTTTAGATCAGCTTCTATAACAGGCTTTAGATCAGCTTCTATATCAGGCTTTAACAGCTTCTATAACAGGCTTTATATCAGCTTCTATAACAGGTTTTAGATCAGCTTCTATAACAGGCTTTAGATCAGCTTCTATATCAGGCTTTAACAGCTTCTATAACAGGCTTTATATCAGCTTCTATAACAGGTTTTAGATCAGCTTCTATAACAGGCTTTAGATCAGCTTCTATATCAGGCTTTAACAGCTTCTATAACAGGCTTTATATCAGCTTCTATAACAGGTTTTAGATCAGCTTCTATAACAGGCTTTAGATCAGCTTCTATATCAGGCTTTAACAGCTTCTATAACAGGCTTTAACAGCCTCTATATCAGCTTCAATATCAGCCTCTATATCAGGCTTTAGATCAGCTTCTATAACAGGCTTTAACAGCTTCTATAACAGGCTTTAACAGCTTCTATAACAGGCTTTATCAGCTTCTATATCAGCCTTTATATCAGCTTCTATAACAGGCTTTAACAGCTTCAATATCAGGCTTTATATCAGCTTCAATATCAGCTTCAATATCAGCTTCTGCATCAGCTTCTATATCAGCCTTTATATCTCTCGAAAACAATTGGACAACCTTTTGTGATTGGCGCTAGTGTGTGGAAGGCGAGCACAGGCGCTCTGCCGGTCAACTGCCCGACGGCCAACTCGAGAATGATAATCGGCAGCACACAAACGAGAAGTGAGACACCGTAGGCACTCACAAAGGCTACTGAAAAGAGATTCAATGGGATAGGCAGAGATTTGTACAGAAAATTGTGGACTTGATCTTAAAAGGATTTCAGCTTTCAGCTTTCACCTTTGAAACTCTGCTTTTAGAAACACACACTTTCTGGCTCACTGCTCACTTCTTTCTTTCTTCCCTTCTTCCCCCTTATCTTCTCTTCTTCCCTTCTTCCTCCTTATCTTCTCTTCTTCCCTTCTTCCCTTCTTCCCCCTTGTCTCCTCTTCTTCCCTTCTTCCCCCTTAGCTTCTCCTCTTCCCTTCTTTCTCTTGACAAGCTACCAGATAGCTCAGTGGTTAGAGTAATTGCCTGAAAGGTCAAAGTCAAGCAAAAGGTCCAGGGTTCAATCTTCAATCCAGATAACTACCTTTTCTTGCCTTCACTTCTTTATTAAGTAACTTTTGCAGGGGAATTGAGAGACCAAGTGTGCTAGAAAGGCAGTTTGTGAGGGCACACGTTATTTAATCACTCAAGACAACTCACATCCTCCATTCTCTAGAATCAACTTTGGCAAATTGAGGAGATTCGTTGTGGCGCAAACATATGCAACGGCGGCCACGAGGAAATCGATCTGAAATAGAAAATAGGTTAGGATAGAAGAAAGATAAAACCAAACCAAAGCTAAAGTCTTTTTAAGTTTTAAGATTAGATAAGAGAAGAAAAATTGCGTCAAAAATTCGCACAAAGAGCATTTCTTGAAAAAAGCCAAGGTCGGGCTCGAACCTAGGAGGTCTCGCTCTAGAAGCGAACGCTCTACCACTCGGCCACGAACTGACTTAGGGAGGGTCGCCAAGACGGGGTTAAGAGGTCGCTAAGAAGGCGGCTATTAAGAGACCCAAATGACCACATTTTCAGAGTTCTAACAAACTTTATCCCCTTCAAACTCCTGACAGATTGTCATTTAGCCAAAACGGAATATATATTCGGAATCAGCACAAAATTCTGCGTTGAATGGTCGGCTAACGAGTCCAAATTTCCTTGTAAGTTTGGTTTAAAATCTAGAGTTTTGTAAGCTCAAAGCTCAAACCTTAAACGACCATAGATCTCTCCATTCCTCGACGAGATCTGATGCTTTTATATTCGACCAACTTCGCTCTTCGAACCACATCTTAAAACGAAATCAATCAGCACTTCAATTTCATCCGTTTTAGCTGTCTTTTTCTGAAATTTGTCCTTTTTTCAAAAGAAATTGAATCTTTTAACAATAAATAACAATAAATGACTCAATTTTCATTTTCCGATCGCTTAGCTTAGAAAAGCTGAAGGTAGACGGCAAATTTTAGACGATTTCTTAAGAATTTACTCAAGAAAAACTCTTTAAAGGGTTTTCTTTATGAAATTTTTGGCATTTTTTTTGTTTCTAACCTATCCTCAAACATTTCATAAGAAAATTAACAACTTTTAAAGTGTTTTAGAAAGCTAAACTTTCCAAAATCTCTTAGCAATTCACAAAATTCCTCAAAATTCAAAAATTAAACAGAAAAACGAAATTTCTAGAAGAATTAAAGACCGAAAAGAAAAGCATCGCGTAGTCAAAGTCTCCTCTCAAATAAACACTCATATCTTTACACTAGTACGTTTTTTTCTGCTCGTTTTGGTATCAAATTAAAGTAGAGAAAATGGGTGTTTTTTTGGCATATAAAACTGATTTATAGCATTAACCAGTGCTTAGAAAAAAATGATTGAAAAATGATAAAAAATCGGCTTTTTTAATGATGAAAACAAACACTCATAACTCAGCACCAGTACGTTTCTTTTTGCGCAGTTTTGTATTAAATTAAAGTAGAGAAAATGGGTGTTTTTTTGACATATAACACAAGTTCCTAGCATTAACCAGCACTTAGAAAAAAATGATTCAAAAGTGGCAAAAAAGAGCCAATTTTTCAAAAAAAGCGATTTTTCATCATTTTTCAATAATTTTTTTCTAAGCACTGGTTAATGCTAAAAACATGTTTTATATGCCAAAAAAACACCCATTTTCTCTACTTTAATTTGATATTTAAACAAGCAGAGACAAGCGTACTAGTGTCAAGATATGAGTGTTTATTTGAGAGGAAACTTTGACTACGCGATGCTTTTCTTTTCGGGTCTTTAATTCTTCTAGAAATTTCGTTTTTCTGTTTAATTTTTGAATTTTGAGGAATTTTGTGAATTGCTAAGAGATTTTGGAAAGTTTAGTTTTCTAAAACACTTTAAAAGTTGTTAATTTTCTTATGAAATGTTTGAGGATAGGTTTGAAACAAAAAAAATGCCAAAAATTTCATAAAGAAAACCCTTTAAAGAGTTTTTCTTGAGTAAATTCTTAAGAAATCGTCTAAAATTTGCCGTCTATCTTTAGCTTTTCATAAAGAAAACCCTTTAAAAAGGTTTTTCCTTGGTTAAGTTTTTCGTTTTTCTTAAGAAATTGTTAAGAAACGATTAATCGTATAGAAGCGAAATCGTATAAAATCGTATAATCGTATTTCTCGTCTACTTTTCAAGATTTCAATAGCTTTTCAATTTCAATAGCTTTTCAAGATTGGAAAATGAAAATTGAGGGATTTATTGGATTGGAAATTGGACAAAAAAATGTCAAAAAAAATTGGACAATGATGAGTTGAACTGTTGAACGTTGGACAATAAGAAGTTTAACAGTTAGCAACGTTGGACAATGATAAGTTGAACTGTTGAACTTTGGACAATGAGAAGCTTAACAGTTAGCAACGTTGAACAATGATAAATTAAACAGTTAGCAACGTTGGACAATGATAAGTTGAACTGTTAGCAACGTTGGACAAGAAGAAGCTTAACAGTTAGCAACGTTGGACAATGATAAATTAAACAGTTAGCAACGTTGGACAATGATAAGTTGAACTGTTGAACGTTGGACAATGAGAAGCTTAACAGTTAGCAACGTTGGACAATGATAAGTTGAACTGTTAGCAACGTTGGACAAGAAGAAGCTTAACAGTTAGCAACGTTGAACAATGATAAATTAAACAGTTAGCAACGTTGGACAACTTTTAACAATGATAAGCAAAAGATAAGAAAAAGATAAGATAAAGATTATCTGGAAAATGAATGACAAGAAGAAAATGGATGACATTAAACTCTCAATAAACTCTAAATAAACTCTAAATAAACTCTCAATAAACTCTAAATAAACTCTAAATAAACTCTCAATAAACTCTAAATAAACTCTAAATAAACTCTCAATAAACTCTAAATAAACTCTAAATAAACTCTAGATATTTGAATTGAGTTGTACGATGAGAAAAGTAAGGAAAAATCGGGAAAATCGGGAAAATGGGGAACACAGGAAAAGGATGGGGAGCAAATGTTGTGATTAAATACGAGAGAATGCATCAATACAGGGGAAAGAGAGATTCGCTCCTTTTCTCTTGATTTTCCCCTCTCACCGTCTATTTCTTTCCTTTCTTCGTTGTGTCTATGTTTTGATTGGGAGAGGAAAAGTCGAAAAGTCAATCGGTTTTGTGACTTTTGTAGCAAAGTTTTGGACTTTTGTAGCAAGCTTTGGACTTTAATAGCAAGCTTTGGACTTCTCTAGCAAGCTTTGGACTTCTCCAGCAAGCTTTTGGACTTTAATAGCAAGCTTTGGACTTTAATAACAAGCTTTGGACTTTAATAGCAAGCTTTGGACTTCTCTAGCAAGCTTTAGACTTTAATAGCAAGCTTTGGACTTTAATAACAAGCTTTGGACTTTAATAGCAAGCTTTGGACTTCTCTAGCAAGCTTTGGACTTCTCCAGCAAGCTTTTGGACTTTAATAGCAAGCTTTGGACTTTAATAACAAGCTTTGGACTTTAATAGCAAGCTTTGGACTTCTCTAGCAAGCTTTAGACTTTAATAGCAAGCTTTTGGACTTCTCTAGCAAGCTTTGGACTGATCTAACAAGGCAATGTTCGACATTTCGACGCGAAATATTGGCAAAAAAGCAAAGCAAAACGATTACCAGGTTTCCAAAGCTGTAATCCGTTTTTTCAATCGACTATCAACAAGTGTTGGACAAACGTCTAGTCGTCTATTTGAACAACAATCCGGGCAATAACTTCACTTTTCTGCACAAGATACTCGTGATACATGCGAGTATCCATCAGAGATTGGAGATTATCCAAGAGATTGGAGATTAGCCAAAGCGACACTCTCGCTTGGCTGTAAGCATCGACTTGAACCCGACTTGGACTTGGGAATGTGTTAGGGAGTAATCAACGAGTTGAGAACACTCGTTTGAGATGTCTACAAGAGAAACAAGCAATATTCGAGTGTGAATGAACTCGAGAATTGAAGCTTGAAGCCATTGAAGAAGCTTGGAATCGATTTCAGCTGACAGCTCTTCAAAAACTTGTCTCTTTGTCTTGAAGTTGAACTAAAGCAAGCAGAGCTCACATATTATTCATTTATTTGATTTCTTGATAAAATAGTGCGCAATTCCTTTGGCTGTAGCTTTGATTTCTCTCCAGAATCGATAGCTATCGATAGCTCAATGCTAGAGTGTTTCTGTGCTCAATGCTGAGAAGTGAAAGGTTAAAGCTTCGATTTGGACAAGTTTTTTCTTTTTTCCAATTCTTCTTTCGCTTTTCATCAATATTGTACACTTTTTAGATGGAAATTGAGGAAAAGTTTCCTTTCGAATTACCCAAAAACATGATACAAACAAAGACTTTCAGTAAATTGAAGTGAAATCCTCTCTTGGTCACTTGGCTGGCAACTTGGCTTGTAACTTGGCTTGTAACAATGGCTTGTAACTCTTCAACCAATTCCCCTATCCATTTCTCTTCTCCAAACCATTCTTCTCACTCCGAACTCTCCGATCTCCGATCTCTTCGATCTCTCCGATCTCTTCGATCTCTCCAATCTCTCCAATCTCTCCAATCTCTCCGATCTCTCCAATCTCTCCGATCTCCGATCTCTCCGATCTCTTGGATCAAATGCCACTCTTGTCCATCAGTCTGACTCATAATCATCTCGAAATTGAAATGGAAAAGTTCCCAAAAAAAACTCTGACTAACATTTGAGAAAGATTTTGCTGAAAATAGATGATTGGATTTGATTAGATGATTTTAAACGATTTTTAAACGATTTTTAAAAGCTACCTTAAAGATTAAATTAAAGATAAAGAGATTAAAGGGTATTAAAGCTAAAAAAAGCATCTCCTTTCGAGTAAAAGGGTATTTTTGCTTAAAACGGGTGAAATTTAGCTAAATAAAAGGGATTTAAAAGGTGCGATTAACTAAGAAACTTGGCTGGGAACTTGGCTGGGAACTTGGCTGGGAACTTGGCTGGGAACTTGGCTGGGAACTTGGCTGGGAACTTGGCTGGGAACTTGCAACTAAGTCGAAAAGCATCTCTAGTTAAGCGCAAATAACTAAAACAAAACTCCAAGAACACTCGCAGAAACACGAAAAACAAACAGTTTGATGGGTAGATATCAAAAAAAACTAAGAAATATGATCTAAATGAGTTACTATGGGTAATTAGAAATGCTTATCCTCATTTCCATTTCAATAACATTCAGGTGTCAACAAGGAAAAGCCAAAGAAATAAGAAAGCTAAATAAGAAAGCCAAAAATCAAACCAATAATCGATTTGCTTTACAAATTTAACGTATTTTAATGTAAAGAAATCAGAATTTTAAGAATTATATGAACTTTTCGAAGAAAGGGAACGGAAAGAGAGAAAGAGAGAGAGAGAAAGAGAGAGAGAGAAAGAGAGAGAGAAAGAGAGAGAGAGAAAGAGAAGGAAAGAGAGAAAGAAAGAGAGAGGAAGAAAGAGAAAGAAAGAAAGAAAAGATCCATCTTCCAACAACCAAATGGACATCTGTTTTACAGCAAATGCGATTAGCAACATACACACAAATTGAGGCACAACTGGACACTCAAAAATTGAGCACGAACCAGAGGAAAGCGCTGGATTTGAAGTTCTGGTGTACGAAATTCTTTTGGCTTGCTAAATTCTTTAGTTACTGCAAGAATATGAAGAATTTAGTGCGCTAGAAATGGTGTGGTTGTATTCTTAAACACAAAGTACGATTCTTTTTGTTTATGATGAGCATTGCATTGAATCAGATAATTGAATTGAATTGAATTGAATTGCGAATTGACTTGCGAAT